TGAGATTCTTTGCCATACTACATTCCATTTTTAATTAATCGATAAGGCAGTAGTTATTATCTGATTCCTTGTATAAAAACCTTGCATAAAAAACGAACCAGAGAATGGAGAGAAAGATGCATTGATATTTCGGCAGCAAACGTTTATCAAAACGTATCATTTATTAGCAACATGCCCTTATCAAAATAATTCGTTCCGGTAAAGGCATGTTGCCGAAGTACTAACACAGCTATCTCTTCATTATCCTGGTGCTTTTAAGAGGAATACGGCTATCACTACTGTCTTATTTATTCGCGTGATGTTTCTTGTAAATGCACTTAACTACTCACGTAATGTCTAACAAATTTTCTAAAACAAAAAAAAAACATCTAAGATACCCGGCACCTCTTTTGCGAAGAACTGTCTATGTTTGCAGACAAGTCTAGCAGTGAGCGCATCCCATGGGTGCAGATTGCGAAAATGTCATCGATGCACGTTCTAAAATGGCTGGCATGAATGAAAAACAACATCCATGGTATAGCGTCGGTGGCATGCTCATTGCAGTTTTGTTGACCGCAATACACTCGTCGAGGTCCAACAAAGCTGACGTACCATAATGAGAGCCGGTATTTCCTCTAGATGATGGCCCGGCCCACCTCACAACACAGCCGCCCCGTCGCCCATCGGCCGTCGCGTTTGTACCGCGGGGATGGTCCACGAGGCACGCCTGGTTACGAAAGCTGAGGCGCAGCCGGGCGCCGCGGCGCCTCCACGACGCGCCACGACGTGATTACAGCGATCTTGCGGCGTTCGGCGAGCAGAATGATATGTAATAGTTTTATGAAATGTGCATAATGTAGGATAGCCTTCAAACGCAAACACAAATAATTGGGTTATAAAGACGGTATCCATATATCCAGTGTATTTGCATTGAACGGCTCTCAGGCAGAAACTTTCATCGGCAGGACGAGCACAAAAGGCGAACGCAAACGGCTCATATAGAAGCTTATATCACGATGAAATATGTGATGTGCATTTATAGCTTTTCATGTAGTTTGCTTACTTCGAAATATTTTCTTTCTTCTACGAGCACATAGCATAATAATGCAAGGCAAACTACTTCAGTCATATGATGCACGCAACACGCACTGCTCAGGTCCACTGGTATCGTTGGAGATCCCAGCAGCCTCTTCCGAGTTGATATTCATCGGCTTTACCGAAGCTATGTCTTCCTCATGTTCAACTTCCATCGGAGTCTCAGTCGATTCATTATCTGAAGGGGCTCCCACCAAGCCTGTATTCGGCCCAGGATTTTCAATATTCATAGATGTATCCATATCATCAACAACCATCGGCGTATCTATATCATTGTCCACAGACATGCTGACATCACTATTCGTCATGTTGTTCATCTCCGCCAGGTCGGTGTAAGAGTTGCGAGCTGCTCGAGCCATTTAAATCAACTATAAAGTTATGTCCTGTTCCTCTGTATTTATGGGTTTCTCTGTGTTCATACATATATGAATATGAATATGAATATGAATATCAACAACAACTGGCGCATCTATACCGTTATCCATAGACATGCTGACATCAGTAACCGTCATGTTGTTCGCCTCCGCCAGGTCGGTAAAAGAGCTGAGCGTTGTTCGATCCATTTAAATCAACCATAAAGTTATGGTCCCGCTTCCCTGTATTTATGGACGTACATGCACATATATGAATATGAATATGAATACAGATATATGATTAAGTACAACAATGCATATATATGCACAGATATATGCATTTGTATGTATATATATTTTTTATGCATGCATATATGTATTCACACACACACACACACACAAACACACACACACACACACACACACATATATATATATATATATATATATATATATATATATATATATATATCAAACACGTACGTAATCATGTATATATATATATATATATATATATATATATATATATATATACATGATTACGTATGTATGTGTGTATGTGTGGCATGTTGACACATTATTTTTTTCTGTCGCTGCTGTTATATTTAAAACCATGAATTGAGTTTGCTGTATGTAAATTATTGATATGCCTTATTAATTCGTGTTTTCTTTCTTGTGCAAAAATATATTGTAAAATTTACATCCGCGTTGATTGTTTTTCAGTATACGGATGCATTTTATACCTTGAATAATCTGGACCAGGCCGGTGAGTTGTTGTAGCTCTGAACCGGACAACGTCAGTCATAATCTGAGGGCTTCGTTCGCTGATCCTTCGACGGTTAACCACCTCACTTCAAATAATAATCAGCTCGATTCGGGATCTTCACGTCCGCAAATGGAGACTTTGTAAGTGGGGATATACCAAATACTGCATGTGGGGCTACACATCACAGTTGCTTTTAGTCGTAAACAATATCAGTTTTGTTTTGATTGGCTCAGGTTAACCTGAGTTATACACGCATGATTCGGTTACGTACAATTAATTGATTGGCTGCAGTTTAGGTCTCGGGTGCAGCGGCTGCATGCTCATACAGCGTCCGTGGTAAAAACTTACTGCACACGCAACGCCGTCAACTTTGCGGTCGTCAGCCATAGATGTAACCACGTCTCTGAGCTTGGGGGTACAAATCAGGATTGCGGGGTCAAACTGGAATCTGGAGGCCTGATTGAGACCTGACCTGAGACATTTTTAACGAGTAAAAACGTGAGAAGATGTACTCTAACGGGTAATATGTGGGCATTGTAGGGAACGTGAGTAGCCAGCTTTGGCTATATATACCCTACAGGTCAGACCAGGCATGTCTATTTCACGCAGTGACGAAATCAGTGAATATGCAATGACTTGTGATCATTTACGTTGCTGGCGACGGCATGCAAGGAGTTGATAAAACACATGTCTGGGTTGCTATTGGCAATGGTTGGTCTATTCAGTATGGTTTGTACGCCGCAGTTTCATTCGGTTTAGGCCACTGTGTCATATTTCGAGCCCAGTCTGAAAAGGTTGGTTCATTGGTCATTGTCATCATTGATCATGGCACTCATTGGTCAATTACCAGCGGATTGACGCTCGCGCCACTGACTGAACTGAGTTGAAAGCGCATGACAATTTTCAGGCCGCACGTTCGACATCGCTGTAGAACTCTTTGCAAACCTTTACATTATCTGGTTTCCGGATCTGACGTCAGTCCTTAAGAACGGTCCAAAATGCGAATAATTGTTGACAACAGCAACACAAAACTGTACAATCCCAAGATAAAGTCTTGTGAAATTCCTCATACGATGCTTCAATCTTCTGGGATGTGGAGCGCTGAAAAGGGCTGCTATTTTAAGACTAACGCCGAATGCCATTGTGTTAAGTGTGGTTTCAAAGTTAGGGAAATGTTTGTGTTTAAAGTGCAGTCATTTGTCCCAAAAACATTGTCGCTTGAAAACTCTGCTCCCGGCGAAGAAGCCACGTGTTAAGGGGGCTCTCGTCTACAATCCGATAATGGTGGGCGGATCACAGTCGACATTCGTGGGTTTGTGTCGGTCTCTGGCAATGACAAATGCGGAGACGTTGCAAGTGATGTGTAGTCAATTAAACTGGGCTATAGTAAAAACGTTGAGGCTAAATTGGCGAATAAAAACTCTTTAATTTGGGATAAATCAGTTCAGATCCGAAAAACCGTTCTGATATGGCAGCATGTATCTGGTATAAGCACCCAATTAGCCCGGCAGTACAGTATTTCAGTCTCCCTGAAAATATCTTGCAATGGTCTAAGAACGTTCTTTTATATCCAAAAATGTCAATGCCAAAACAAAGAGCGGAAAACTTCAGCTACACATATTGGGGCCAAACTTGAAATGAGTGATTTACTATGGGAAGATGAACAGATGATATCGCCACCAATTCCCGTGGTTAATGCTCATCGATTCCGAAATAGAACGCATACTTGCCATTTGTACAGGAAAGGTGTTCGGATTTTTGGAATGTTATGTTGTATATTTTTCCCGGAGTTTATGAAGAACGCTTTAACTTAACCACCACTTTATTGCTGCTTTTGCTTTTTTTATTTAAATGCACTTTTCAAGATATAACATAATTAGGCTGGCCGATCAGTTATATTAACTTACATGTACAACCCGATATGTCCGTAATTGGCGATGACAACATATTTGTGGTTGTCTATGATGGCCAGACGCAGTCTCGTTGAAGGTATTGGTTTTCGCTTTCCGTTACTGCACACACACATATCGCATCCTATCATTGCTCGCTCGTTGGGTTCCTCCACTTCTCGGTGTGGCAGAGAGACACAGGTTCACGTGTTTCGGACAGTCCCAGATATTAAACGCACCAGGCTGAAGTAGTTCAACGGCAGAGGCAGAGCAACTTATGAAGTGCGCGGTAACGAACGTCCGTTACAGAGGAAGCTTGTTCCACAGCCCATGCATATCGGCAGACTAGCAAGAACGAGGTACCACACGCACAAGATTGCATTGCTTGAAAACATCCAAACCCCGCTTGGCACTCAAGCTGTCCAGCCTTTTCACCAGCGACAGCTATACCCTGATCGGATCGGCGCTCTGCCTTATCTCATTCCACGCATTGCGTCGATCCCTTTCTTTTTCGGCCTCGCCCTGCCCGGTGTTCTACCCTGGCACCTGGCACTGGGCCCGTGCCGCTGCTGACCGGCCGCAGGAGCCGGTGTATGGGCGAAGGGGGGGGGGGGTCAGCATCTGCCGGCCACGACACATGCCGCTCGTCACAATAGATGAGAAGGATAATTTCCGCCACGCGTCCGACACACGAAAACAGCTGCGAGAGCAGCCGCCGCGCCAAGGGCGAAAATGGCCCTTTCAGCCAGGGCGTATCGCCGTTATCGCCGCGACGGCTGTCACGTGCCGCCGTAAAGGCGAGTTTGCGGGCGCGGCCGCCGGCCGGTCGACCGTAACGCGCCGCCAGCTGACGGCGCGAGGGGAGAGGCAGGCGCTGGGCGTCGCTGGCCACGGCGCGCACGCAGCAGTCGGTGTTGAGTTTTCGGGGAGTCCGGGCGGCGTTAGCGCAGCGGAGCGGAGCGAGCGTGCGCGCGAGGGGCGGCGATGTCACCTGACCTGTGCCGGATGGAGGACTCGGCTGTCATCTCGTGCTACCCGGACCTCGCCGTTACCATTCGGAAGAAGATGAACTCCTTCAAAAAGTTCAAGCGCCGCATGGGGCTCGGTAAGTGTTGCTACGACGGCGTTGTGCCGTGGTGCCGTTAATGAAGTTTCATGTGATTTGACGGCTCCCCTGTTGCTGTTATCAGTTTGCTTACTGCCGACGCGTTGCACGGTTGCACGGTTGCGCTGGTTGCACGGCGCGTGAGACGACGGACCGTTGGAATAGGCGTAAAATGTTAGGTGCTACTCAGTCCTCGACCGAGAGGTCAATAGCATGACAAGCCCACGGCGTCCATCACCAACGCGAAGCTGTCGCTGGCAACGCCAGCCCTGCGCAGGAGCCACACACGGTGGCGTGGGTACCGTCGCGATCGATGCTCAGTCCGACGACCTCTGTCGGCGCCAGCGGCGAGCCATCACCGCGCCGATACCGATCCAGGCCGCGGCAACAGCGCCACATGCCGCGCCGCGCGCCGACCGACCCAGGGGCCCGGCTCCGGCCGGGTGCGCCGCGCCGGGCCGGGCCGCGCCGCCCGTTCCAGGTCGATGACTGCTGCTGGCAGGCGTCGAGGCCAAGCCTCTCATGCCGGCTGGCGGCTGGCACGCGACCAGGCGGCTGCGCCGAGCACCGGCGATTCTGAATGCGGGCTGTGTGGAGACGAGTCAGCGCCGACCATTTGGGTTGACGACGGCCAGGATATTTAAGTTCACATGATCTAATGCGCTGACAATTACACTCGACGGCCCCGGATAAATTCATACTCTAAGTCGTTGCATTTTGGGTAAGGTCCCGCCTACCCTCCCATGGTGTGACAAATTTCGCATGCATTCCAGAACGTAGAGGATTAGCCAAAGCTGTACGATAGATATAAGCGCGTTGGCCATATCTGAACTTAGGGCTGGAGCCCGGACGTAGTGAACATTTGACCCCTGCATCATGTTTTCTACGCGAGTGAACGCGTTGAGAAAGCCTTCTTGCAACGCTATCGCGGGGTCAAGTCCCTGACCTCGGCTCATCCCCCGTCGTGTCGAAAGCCCTTGGCTCGGGAGATCCCTGGCGGAACTCTTCCTGAGCACGGATCCGCCATTGGTCACACCCGGCCCTGGTGAATGCGCCGGTTATGCCGCACGTCTCACTGCCGCGAGATGAACGCAGCGGATGCCGTTTCAAACATGTCGCAACACGCATGCCTCGACGCACGCGGCTGTCATTAGAGCTCAAAATCCCTGCGGTAAGAGCGGGGTGAAGCCCTAACCCTCCACGTGTGCAGAAGAAGGGTGTTAGCTCAACATTCTTTCATGTATCTTTTTAGACTCAAAGGGTTCAAGACTGCATTTCCTTGAGACAGGGGTGGAGCAGAGGCGAGGAAGTCCGAAGGCGAAGGAAGGGGAGGGGACAATGCAGTTTTAGTTTTTTCCACCAAGCGTCAGCAGGTCAATGCTATTTTCTTCAGAAAGTGGGCGAGGGGGGCGCAATAGCCCTGATCTAGTTTTCCCGCTGATGGTAAAGGGAATCCTCTCCCTTACCGATGCTTGAAAAGACCCGTGATTATCCATGCTGGGCGCTGGCTGTTCACGCCTCATTTCACAGCGATGTTTGCCCCGGTCCAGGCCTGCACGTACACCGTGCACGTTTCGCCGGCCACAGTGCAGGCTGTGCCTGGTGCTTGGAATGCAGCGCGGAACTCCTACCTCTGAGACCGACTAAAAACGGGAGCACGGCCAGCGGCGGTCCAGGTCGCCGAGGTGGCATGACGTCGGGCTGCGAGCCTCCTGCCGTGGCTGGCGCATGGACTCATTGTTCGCCGGCCGTCGGCGCCCGGTTCTCACGTCCCGCGGGCCGGCGCGCCCTGCTCCCACCTTTGTACGCCGCCAGCAGCGGCCAGGCAGCGCCGCTGGGCCAGCGGGAGGCGGCGGCGCGGGCCGGCGCGCCGTGCTCCCACCTTTGTACGCCATCAGCAGCGGCCAGGTAGCGCCGCTCGGCCAGCAGGAAGTGCTATGGCGGCCGTTTTTGCTGTGCATTGTTTTAGGCGGGGCGAGAGCCGCAGTGACCTTTACCGCCCTCGACCCCAAGGCCGTCCGTCTCAGTTGACGGCGGTTGCGCAGCTCGGCGACGTTACCCGGTCCCCGGTCTGGCACCGGCGGAGGTGAGCGCTTCCCAGGCTCCGGCCTCTGCTGTCACAAGCATGCTGAAGTGACACTTGCTGGGGTTTTGGAACATATGCCATCTAGCTATTCTGGCGGAAAATGGCGACTAGTGATGAGGCTGCAGAGGCTGGGTCATAAGTTATCGGCGGAGTGCAATTTGGACGACTTCGGGTAGGCTGTTAATGATGCAATGTTTTGCTACGGTTTGGAACTTTCAACGCAGTATACATATTTCAAATAAGCAGTGAGAGATCTGCATCCTCTGTGCCTTTCGGCGGGACGTGTGACGTCCGCGGTGCCGCCCCCTCGCATTCAGTGCGCGCCGTGCGACAACGCCCGCGGCGGTCGGCGATCACGTGACCGCCGCGGGCGTGGCGGCGGGCTCGCCCTGCGGAAGCGGGGACCACTCACGGCGGCGCCCGCAACAGCCCACTTCCCTTTTGAACGACGGCATTTCCTCTGGACTTTCGTTAGCGATTAGACGCATCCTCTGTGCCAGTTTCGCCGGCGCCGCGAGGGAAGGCGGGCTGGGCTGCCCCTCCGGCCGCCGCGTGCGTTCCGGCACGGAAACTGCACCCCGCCGTCCCAGAATCACGCTTCCCCCAGGCTTCGGGAACAGGAGCCCACAGCCCACGTGAGTCACTGAGACTGACGGGAACATTCCCAGCCGGGCGGCAGCAGAGGGTCGGGACGAGGCGCTGCGGCGAAGGCGCCGCCCTGCCCGGCCCGCCGTGACACTGCCGTGTGGGTTCGGCTCCCCCCGTCCTCATATGACACCGCTATCCGGTGTCCGAGCGGCCTTTGTCTTCCCGCCGCGGTGCACACGTGCATTCAGCGGATGCGCCAGCCGTCTGCACCGGGACGACCCGACGGCGCGGATGGCGCTTCTCACCGGCGATTAACCTTTGAAACACCACTTTCCCATAGTTTCTAACAAGGCCGACGGTAGCGGGCGTGTGTCGGAATAGCGGCCGTCATTAGGGGGCCGGTAGCGGCGCGCTGCCACCCGCGCCGCGTTCGCCGTACGCGGACGGCGCGCCGTCTGCCGTGCTGGGCGTCGGCTGGCGGGCGCGGCGCACTGGCCGCTGACGGGGCGCCGGCGGCGGCCGCGCTGCAGCCGGCGGCCGGGCACCAGATGGTTCCGGTCGGCCGGCGAAACTGGGCCCCGACCCCACATTTGCCGGCGGATTGTCGTCGTAAATCGTGCGCGCTGTCATTACACGGGACGGCATGGTGGAGCGACAGGATTGTCTTCATAACGACAGACATACCAGGGGTGTTTCTTTCGAAGGGGCTCATTTTGTGATCATTGCAGGCCAACCGGCAGCATTTTCCCGGGTGCATGGCACGGCTTTCAAGATCGGCTCGCTTTTAGTTCGGCTCCTGCATTGTGACCTGCGATCCACGGATTCCGGGGAATCTCTGGAATCCGCTGCGGTGCGGAGCAACGGCCAAACGAGGAAATGCTGTGGACGTGTTATGCTTGTTTCAGGAAGTTTTCAGACGACTTCCCGAACCTTTGTTCCCCTGGAAATGAAAAAAAACTAACAAGAATATGAAAGGTTTACCTCGCTCACTTTTCCCGAAAGTTTTGGATGACAAACGTGAAATTGACAGTTCATTTTTGAAAATTTGTCATAATTCAAACCGCTGAGCCTTGCGCTTTATTCTTGGTTCTTCACTGCGAGTCGCGGACTGGAAACACAGCCTTATCGTCTTAAGTCCCAATCTTGGCCCGTCCTAATCTTGACGCGGCCTGTCCCCTCGCCCGGCCCGGGACAGCGTGACCTTCCCGCCCCGACGTCCGCCGCCGGCTCTATGTCGGCCTCACAATCGGACGCCACGCCCGTTTCCGGCGCGCCGCGCACGCCTGAGGGGCTCCGGCCGCACGAGCGAGGAAACGCACTTCCGGCGCCTGGCGGCAGGAGACACGGTGGCGGCGCCCGCCGTCACGGGGTTAAACGGGCCGGCCGGCCGTGTCTGCCGCGGCGGCCGCCGCCGCGGCCAGTACGGGCGCGGAGCTCGAGCGGTCCGCAGCGCACGTGGAGCGGTGCGCGGCGAGCGGGCGGCCGGTGCGCTCTGTCCGTCATCGCTCGTCGGTGGGTGCGCGCGCGCTGTGATCGGCGGCGGCGAACAATCGCCGGACGGACCGGCGGACAATAGGCTGATAGCGTCTGGCGTCGCGTGCGTCGCGCCATCTCCGCCGGAAGAGGAAGATGAAGCTGAAGGCGCTCAAGAAGCTGCGCAACATTGGCGGCGGCCTCGGTACGTGACTCGGTTGGTGGGATGGGGACTCGGCCGGAGGTCTCTGGTGGTGATGACTGTCGGCGCCTCTGTCTGGTCGCGACCGCTCGGTATGTGGCTTGGCAGGCTTGGCAGACATGTGGCTCGTACCTCGAAAACGTGTCCCCAATGATAATTGACGTGGGACCCTCGGAGGTGATGAAGGAGGGGGACAAACGCGATTTGTTTTTGTCCACCACGGGTGAATATTATTTTCCCAGAGAGGGGTGGGAGAGCGACTTCCACTGCCGCTCCCCGCTTCCACCTTCCCAGTAGTGACAGGTCGATACGAGCTTGTGTTGGTAAGCCGTTGTTACCTCAGGTGATGTGCGGTACAGCCCGGCTCGTATTTTCGGTTCAGTTTTGGATAGCTGCCACCTGCGCCTCGTGCGTAGCTCCGGTGTTGCTCTGCCTGCGTTCGTGCACGCATCACGTGACGTCATCCCCATCCTCCGTTGACGGCCCTGTCGTGCCTCGCACATCGCAGTTGATCAGTGCGTGCGTCGGCACCAGCGCCGCTCCTTCGCCGTCGCCCATCTCGCCGGTGAAGGCGCGCGTCGGCACCGACGCCGCTCCGCCGCCGTCGCCCACCTCCCCGGCGAAGGCGCGCGTCGGCGCCGACGTCGCTCCGCGCCGTCGCCCACCTCGCCGGTGAAGGCGCGCGTCGGCACCGACGCCGCTCCGCCGCCATCGCCCGCCTCGCCGGTGAAGGCGCGCGTCCTGCCGTCCGGGAATGCGTCGGTTTCACACCGCATTGTGTCGGCCGGGGGCTGGCGGACGCGGCACTATTCACCGGCTTTGATCGGGCAGCTGGCGAGGGCCCGGGCGCAGCCGGCGGCGGGCGTCCCCGCTCCCCTCGCTGGGAGCCGGCCCGGCCCTCCCCGGTCCAGCCGCGGAAGGGGACGCTCATTCCCATGCTCGCGGGTTCGGTCCGGGGTTTCAACGGACGCCGGAAGCAACGCTCGGCCTGCCCGTTTGAAGCCGTGGTTAACACCGTTCACAGTTATCTACGGCAAAAAAGTACCGGTGTTTTAATCCGAAGGAATGTGATTGTGCAGTTCGAAATTGTTGTCGATTTAGGATCTTAAGATTTTGTCTTTCAGCTTCCAACGAATGCGGCTTAATCCATGGCCAAGGCATTCGGTGCTTGTTATGCAAGACGTTCATTTACGGCAGTTGGCACGTGATCTTGATATACCACAATTCCGAAATCGCAAGGAATTTATATAACAGCTATAGATACATTAAATAAAGCTTCGCATGTTTGGATAGCAATAGGATGGTCGACGTCCTCCACAAGCGCATAGACGGGTCGTTTTGACGGAGGTAGGCTATGGCTGTGCGCCTGAATTCAACATTATCTTCCTTACGCACCATAATAGCTCGGCCCAATCGTGCTCGCATGTAGACCTGGCAGCCCCGCACTGTCCGAGGATGGTCATGTCTCGTTAGCCCCCCATTGGTCGGTGGAGCCCTGTTTGGCCGGACCGGCCACAGGTCACCGCCGGCCGGCGACAGGGCGGTGTGAGACCGGACACGCTGCCGGCGCCCCTCGCGCCGTATCCGGCCGGGCCCCGGCCGCGCCGCCGCCCTGTTTGCGCCGCCGCCGCGACGCGCGGATCTGGGTTATGGCGGCGCGCCGCCGGCACTGGGCGCGCGGCGTAATTGTATCTGCGCCGCTGATGACTCGCTACCGGATCCGGCGCGGCGGCCGGGCCGGCGCAGGCGCGGCCCGGCCGCCGCGCGCCGTTCACACTTGGCCGCGCGCCGGCGTCGCTTCCGGCGTGCGCACCGCCGGCGGAAACCCATCAATTCCTGGTCACGGGTCGCAGCCTGAGCAAACACGGCACAAAGGCCGGCGGCGGCGGCCAGGGTCGCGGCCGTGCGCCGGATGACAGGGCGGCTTCTCCGGCGGCTCTCACCGGCCGCGCCGCCCCGCTGCACGTGCGCCGCCGGCCCGCCCTCGGCCGCGACGCCAGCGGAGCGGCCGGACGGACGCCGCCGAGCCTGAGCACGGCCGCGAAGCATGGTCGCGGAGCGCGGATTGGGAGTGCAGCCCCGGAGCGCTGCCTCGGACGACACGCTGGTCCGCCGGCCGCGTCCATGCGAGCGGCGCCATGGCCGGCTTTAGACGGCTGTTGGCGTGATCTGCGTCAGCCGTCCCGCCGTGCCGCGTCAGCCGTGCCGCGTGAGCCTTCCTGCCGTCCCGCGTCAGCCGTCCCACGTTAGCCATCCAGCCGTTCCCCCGTCCCGCGTCAGCCGTCCCGTCGTCCCGCGTCAGCCGTCCCGCCGTCCCGCCGTCCCGCGTCAGCCGTCCGTCAGCCGTCCCGTCGTCCCACGTCAGCCGTCCCGCGTCAGCCGTCCCGTCGTCCCACGTCAGCCAGCTCCAGTGACGGGCGGCCGCTGCCGAGCCGAGCCTCCGCTCCGGGACTGACTGGCCTGTCCGGATGGGAGCCGCAGCACTTGGGCGTGATATCTGGAGAGATGAGGCCGGGACCTTGGCTTCAAATTAGAGGCCCCTGACGTATCAGGTGAGCCACAGGGCTCGTGACTTTGCCGCACTCCGTGACCCTGAGACACAGTCGAGCTTTCCCTTGACCCGAATGCCTTCTGAGATGTCAAATGTGCGATTTGCAGCCAACATCTGCTGGCATCTCTCTTTAGGCAGTTGCCTTCCGGATGCCGGACTTCGTAACGATCATGGGCAGTTTCGTTCTGATTATCTGACTTCGTTTCGATCAGCGCAGCTCAGCTCAGCTCATCTCAGGTCTGATCAGAACAAACCAGATCAGATCAGCTTAGCTCAGGCCAGATCATATCAGATCAGTTCAAATCAGATCAGATCAGATCAGATCAGATCAGATCAGATCAGATCAGACCAGACCAGACCAGATCATGGGAGTCCTAGCACGATCGGGCCGTTGTGATCAGGCCGGTAAAGGCTGCCAAATGTCAAACGGCTGGGCGGCGGCCGCTGCAGAGTTTCCCGGAAGTGGGCGCGATGGGCTGCGTCGAAAGAAACCAAACAAAACGCTGTTTAGACGTGCGGGAATTCGTACCGTGGTGCTGTCAACCGTACTTATCTGACCAGTTGTCAACTGTGCTCAGTGCGTGCAGTACTAAACACGTCAGCCTGGTGCGCATGCGTTAAAATATGTAGTTATGTACGCCAAATCGCTTATTGTTCAGTTAGAACAATTGACAACTGGTAAAAGGCAGTTTTCGTTAAAACGATTGCAGGTTGAAGAACCTTGTGCACCCTGCACTTCGCAAGCAAAGATTTTCAACATAAATGTAAATAATCTGAAATAACGCTAGTGGTGGAATGCATTGTACAGGTTATTTACAATGCAAACTAGTGCAAAGCTACTTTATATAACTGGGAGGAAATACGACACATGTTGTGTAACTACATCGCAAGTATATGACATAAGCGGTAGAAGAACATTGAAACGAATATAAGCTGGAAAGTTTTCCAATGCATTTTCAGCCGAGCCTTACGAAACGCGAACGAAACGCCAGCAGTTTGCTTTTCAGCTATAACACCCGTAAGATGCCAAATTATTGGCTGTTCGTTGGACCTGCCATGCCCTGGTGAGCGGTAATCGTGGCCATGTATTTGCTCAACCGTCGCAGTTTTTTTGTGTGTGGCTTCGCACGGTGTACTCTGGTAATCTGTGTTACGAATGATAACAGCCTTGGCCTCCGATAGTGTTCAAAAGAGCTCGAGTGGTGGGGACGAGGACAGGTGCCGTGGTGAAGCACGGTGACGCATCGTGTTTGTTTTCGCGCTCAACGATGAGGCCGGATTTCCCGTTCGCTCTGTTCCTCCGCTGCTGTCCCACCTGTATCCCCCAAAAGCGGCCTCGAGTAATCATCACATCTCCGTGCCTCTGGAGGCCGGCGTTGCGCTGTTGCCGCTCGCCACCGTACAAATGCGTCCCGCCGGCACCTATTCGGGTTGGGAGCCCGCTCTGACCGCTGTCGTGTCTGTGTCTGATGACGTTACTGCCGTGCTGACGAGCCACCCTGCGCCGTTGCAGCGTCTTCGGGCGGCGGCGCCGGCCGCTGCGTGGCCACCAACAACCTGCCGCCGCTGCTGTTCCACGCGTCGCACGGCGAGAACATCCGCCTGATGAACGGTGGCACGCGCGCCCAGCGCGTCGACTCCTACTGCAAGGGCATCGTGTTCAGCAGCCGACCCGTCCGCATCAACGAGAAGGTGTGTGACTCGCAGGGGCGTGCTGGGCGATGCTCGCCGGACCCGGAGCCTAGCAAGGCTGGTTTACGGTGGCTTTGGCCGTGTTTCGCTTCGTGTGTGGACGTGCCATGATGTACCGGCTTTTATTTCCGCTTTTTAGTGCAAACTGTGCGCGCTGACCCAGAGTAGAGTCGCTGTTTCCCGAGGCGGCTTTCCAAATCGTATGGGCTGCGTCCTTTATTCCACGGTGTGCTGGACTCTCTAGTCTCAACACACGCGCCTAATCATGTCACGGGCAGGAAAGCGGCTCAATCGAGCCGGGACGCGGGGACGGCTGCCTGCGCTCCGCGTGCCTTAACAGCGGTTGGTTGTGCCGCTGGACCCGTTATCGGCCTCGACACGCTGCCCCACCAGATGGGTCACGTGCGGGGCGTGTTTTACGATCGCCTCGCGCCGGGCCCGGTCCCTTCCGATCGGCCGCTGTCACCCGGAGCCGTCCATTTATCACCCGCTCGCTGGTAAGGCGGTCGCGTGCCTGTGTGAGTCGGCCGGCTCGCCGCGCGCCCGCGGGCCGTGGCGAGCCCGGCGCTACCTCGGACACGTCGGCGCAATCAGCCCTGTTTAGAGTGGCGGTCCGGCTGGGGTCGCTGGCGGCGTCACGCCGACCCGCCGCTCACATCCCACGCCGACGCCGACCTGCAGCCGCAGCGGCTGCGGCGGTGCGACGCGCCGGTTCCGGACGCCTTACTGGGAAGTCTCCCGTCGCCGTCTTTGTTTGAGGTGCGCCGTCAGGCGACCGTCCTCACCGAGCGGAACCTGGCCGCGTCCCGTCGCGGCGCGTGCCTTTGTGCGGGGAGCACCTCTGAATCGCGGCCGTATCCGGCGGAACTAGCTCCCCTCCCTGCGCCCGGTCGCGGGCGGAACCCTTTTCCTGCTGGGCGGCGAGCGGAACCCCGCCCTTTGTGCGGGGGCCGCGGCGTCAGCGTCGCGCCGCCGGAGCGCGGTGCCGGCGGCCGTGCCGCGCCTGACCTGGCGCCGTGCCGCCGCCGCCGCCGCAGGCCCGGGGCGCCGGCCAGGCGTGGCGGCGGTCGTCATGGCCGGCCGACCCTGTCGCCGGCCGGCGCTGGGAACGGGAGGTCGGCAGCTACGGCCGGCCGCGTGCCACGCGCCGCCGGGCCCCGGCGAGGCCGCGCCGCCGGACGTGCCGGGGCCCGTCCGGGGGCGGTCCCTCCGGGTCCGGCCTCCGCCCACGGCATTGCCGCAGCGAGTCGTCCGGCCATGCGCGACCACTGGTGACATGACCCGGAACGAGGATAGCGCGTATTGTTGGACTGTTGGATCTGTCTGACGCCGGCCTGTGTTGTTACCGGCGTCGCATGCCTGTTGCAGATCGTGCTGCGACTGGCGGACGTCTCCAACCAGTGGAGCGGGGTGGTTCGGCTGGGCTTCACCAGCGTGGATCCCCGCACGCATACGCACGGCCTGCCCAAGTACGCCTGTCCGGGTACGTATCGCTGACCCAGGCTGTGGGCCGCCGCGCTGCTCAGTCCACCGTCGGACGAGAGGCGTATCGCGCTGTTCTGTGTTGCACGGCAGATTCTCGAGTGGGTCCTCCAACCGGGAGGAAAGTAAACAGCTTGGACGTGTGAGTGGGCTTTGCCTGAAAGTGGGTCGCAGCCTGCTCTTGAGAGTGTGTTGATTGTTGATCTGAATGCATTCCAGCCGCCACTCACCGATTTTCTTCGGTCGCGCCACACACGGCGTAGTTCTTACGAAGCGTATGCTCACACACTGCTGACGTTGACCCTCAATCGGCAGATCTGACCAGCAAGCCCGGATACTGGGCCAAAGCGATGTCGGAGCGCTACGCTGAGCCCGGCTGCGTGTTTTTCTACTACGTCAGCGCCGGCGGCGACGTCCACTTTGGCCTCAACAACGAGGAGAAGGGCATCTTCTTCTCTGGCGTGGACGCGTCGCGGCCGCTCTGGTGCCTGGTCGACATCTACGGCAACGCCACGGCCGTCGAAATCGTCCGTGAGTTGTACTCCCGCCGCGGCGCGTCCGCGGGCCTGCGTGAAAACCGTCCGAATTGCATCACGTGCGGCTGCTGCAAGACCAGCCCCACCCGCCGCGCACTGTTTCCTTTCTTGCAAGGCTGGCCACCGCGCGGCCGGTGGGTTTTTGCGGCTGGGCAGACAGCGGCCACTTGATCGGGGGGCGGGGTTCAAGGCTCGGCCGACCAGATTAGTCGGCGCCACGATAAGCCACCCACTTTCCCCCGGACGGCCCGGCCCGCGCTCGGCAGCGCCGACTCGCCGGGCGCGTGGGAACGCGGGTCGCCGCGGCATGCCCGCCGGACGGCGGCGTGTCGCGGCGGCCCGGCTGACGGCTCTGTCGACACGCACGCGGCCGTGACGCCGCCGCGCGGTCACGGCGCTCCGGCTGCGGCCGGCGAGAGGCCGCCGCGCCCGGACGGACCAAAAATCCGGCAGCACGTCTGTGGTGTGAAAGTCGCGCTGCGTGGGCGTCCACGGGAACGTGGTTTCTCGATGATTCTGCAAATTTTCACGCCGCTCAAGTCTCGAGGAAGTAAATGCTGTCACGTGACCCACCACGTCCGCACCGCTGTGGCTGTCGTCGCTGACGCCGCTGCCTCCATCGACAGAGCCCCAGTCGACGCCGGCGCCGGTGCTGGGCCCGACCGACGAGGAGCTGGAGCGGTGGACGCGGCCCGCGCTGGCCGCGCTCACCATCCAGGCGCCGCCACCGCACGCCCAGCCGCCGGCGATGCCCATCAAGTACCACACGCACTGCGTGTTCTCCCCGCTACTTCTTCACCCGTGAGTAGGCGCTGACAGGATCGGGGCGACGGATGGAGAGCAGGTCGCTGCTGGGTCTGCGCTGTAACGAGTCGGCGCATGGGTGAAGTCTGTCGGGGCTTGTTTGACCCGTGAATTGATGTGCTAAGCCTGCTTGGACTGGTCTAGTTGACGAATTAAGCCGATGCACTTTGCTCGATTCTGCTGTTTGCGCCATTTTCCGGCTTCGGTGGTGTGGAGTCACAAAACTCACGCTTACCTCGTTGCCACATGCGAGTAGCGGTGACGTGGCCAGCGTCCGGGTTCTAACATACAGCTCGCTCCGTCGCAGGCGTGTCCGCGGCCGCAACGTGGCCGTCAGCCCGGACCGGACGGTGGCGGCGCGACTGGAGGGCCAGTTCTGCAACGGCTACGTGTTCGGCCAGCGGCCGCTGCGGCTGGGCGAGCGGCTGGTGGTGCAGGTCCTCTCGCGCTGCAGCCTGTACGTCGGCGGCCTAGCGTTCGGGCTCACCTCGTGCGACCCGTCGCGGCTGGCGCTGGCCGACCTGCCGGACGACGCCGACCTGCTGCTGGACCGGCCTGAGTACTGGGTGCTCGCCAAGGACGTGGCGCGCACGCCGGCGCCCGGCGACGAGCTTAGCTTCAAGATCAGCGGCGCCGGCGCCGTCGAGTTCTCGCGCAACGGCGGCGCGCCCGTCGTGCTGATGCACGTGGACGCGTCGCTCGACCTGTGGCCCGTGCTCGACGTGTTCGGCGGCACGAGCCGCGTGCGCGTACTCGGCGTGACGCCCGAGCTGACGCCCGGCTGCCCGGCGCCGGCGCCGCCGCGGCCGTCCGACCACTGCCTGCCGGTGCCGCCGCGGCCCAGCCAGCCGCTGCCGCCGTCGCCGCCGACGGCGTCCGAGTATCCGGCGGCCGGCGTCGCCGACTGCGCCGTCTGCTTCGAGCGCGCCTCGGACGCCGCGCTCTACTCGTGCGGACACGTGTGCATGTGCTACTGCTGCGCTGTGCAGTGGAAGGCGCGCGGCGGCGCCGTCTGCCCCATATGCCGCGCGCCCATCAGGGATGTGATCCGGCTCTACCGCAGCTAGGCGGGCGGCGCGGCGGCGCGCGCTGCCGCCAGACCGCGCGGGAGAAACGCCCGCGCCGAGACGGCTCCGGATCAGGCGGCGCGCGCGCACCGGGTTAGGTAGCGCCGCCGCGCGGGAGCGAGCGGCGCTGCCGACAGATGGCAGACCATGTTACGTCAGTGGTGTTGTCGCCGAACTCCACGTGAGCGCGCAGTGGCCTCGCGGGGAGCGGGCGCGTGTTTTGGAGGCGTGATATGCTAGTCAAACGATTGCCTCCTTGTCGATTCCTGTACAACCTGAAGTAATTGCTAGATGCCTTCGCATGCAGCTATCGTTGATCGTCGAGTCGTGTGTCCTGTACGCCGTTTTCTACCGCAAGAAGACTTTCCCTCGATGATTCTAGTCGTAGTGAAGAAGTTACATATTATTTAATGCAAGAGTATATAAGCACATCGTGATTTCAGTTTGTTTCATTGTTTATGCAGACAATACATTTTCTATGTACCTAGGCTTATGCGCACTCGCCACTTGAAATAGGAGCAGCGCTGACCACGGCAGGGCGGAGGCATAGAAACAGAGACCCACTGTTGTTGGTCGATTGTCCGCTGACAAGAGCCGGATCTTAGTTGTTCCAGCCAGCGTATTCTGGCATATCGTTCGGATGTAGCGCTCGCCGCTCCTCTCGTTCGATCATGACCAAATGAAGCTCATCGCCGTTCTCCATCCCGCACCAGTGTGCGGACGAGGCCAACTTGAGACGTGACCTGTGATTTTGTCAACGCCCCTCAAACGCACTCCGCTTGGCGGACGCCAGCGGAGATAACACCACCACACCCGCGGCCCCGAACGGCCAAGGTTACTCAGCTGAAGTGCGTCTGTTTGTAGTGTAATGTAGTGGTTGGACGGCCTGTTGGTACTTGGTGGAGTATATACAGGACAGAGGCACCACCGGCCCAACACGCGTTTCTAAATAGGGTCCAGTATCGTTTCTCCAAGTCTCATTTACACCCCATCAGTGAAAACTTCCGACATGAGAGCTCCTCGATGAAGGAACTATGACTTGGAGAGGACGAGCAGTCGCGCGTGAACGCCCCCGGTGAAGTGCGCAAAACGTGTCGCGTTAACCTTCAGTGGCATAGCCACGGTCCGCGCGGCCCGGGTACCGAGAAACTAAACAGCTGTGGCGCTCTAGAACCCAATTCAACAACCTCCAGGGCGGGGAGGGGACGCGGACCCAAAAGCTCTGCTTCAGGTGCGCCACCGCTGACCCTGGCGCGTTAGCCAAGCCCAGCGCCAACAGCATTGTCAGCTGATGTTCCATAACCTAGGACGGGTCGAATGTTTCGTCCACAGACACACACACAAACACAGCTGTGATAAGCACAGGGTCAGTGACAGCGGCAGTCGGGAGGGCAGCAGCGCGACAGGTGTTACCGCTGCCAGCAGGGTGGCCGCGGCTCGTTGCCCGACGCTGCCAAACGGGGCACGTCACACACCGTGCCGCGTCTGACAGTCCACGCCACCTCGATCCCCGTCGACGAGGGCGAGAAATCCGACGAGATTTGCCCGTCATGTGACGTGCGCTGCAAGACCAGCGAACAGCATAACTTTCACTCGTAAGAATTGAATCCTCGCCCTGACCTGGCGTAGAACCCGACATAATTTGAACCTGCGAAAAATTGTATCTTTCACCTGACAGATTTTAAAACCAGGGTCTGGCGAATTTCAAACTTTTTCGGGGCACATTTCACCTTGCGAATGCACGCCCGGAGCCCCTTTACTTTTACCAAGCCATAACTAGCCGCTATCGTATTTGAAATACCTTGTATTGTACCAGCAGCGTAAACGCTTTACAGATTTACCACAAAACACGCAAGGAGCCGCCAAAGTTGTGCCCACGCATAGGACGTATTACAAGACAGGTTACAAAGAAATCAACAAAACCCATCGAACATGGAAATGATGAAAAACATTTCACGTCTAAAAGGGCTCGCGCAGGAAGTGGCAACATCAAACAGATCACCGAAAACAACTTTTTACACAAATTTCACGAACATTTTCACGGGCATTTTGCCCATCATTGTCGGAAGAGAGCTATCCGGCCACGACAGCACTGGGAATGAAACGATGCTGCGTTTCCCGGTCATTGCAAAGCCTTGTCCCGACAAGCACCAACACAAATCCACAAATCTGTAGACGCGCCAGGACGAATCCAGCCACCGACGCCGTAGCGCCCGCACGTGAGCTGCCCCGACAGCGGGGTTCCGCCAGCGCAACTGAGGACACCGGCAGCAGCGCGGAAGCCACAGAGGACCGCCTCCCAGGCGCGGAGCAGATGACCGCCAGCGGAAGCGAAAGCGCGCGCCCGGCGTGCGGCGGAGCGGATCCTGACGCCGGGACGGGGTCCGAACCAAGCTAGAGCGCAGACAGACGTCCGCCGCCGCGTCCAGCGCTGCGACGGCCACCGGCCGTCCCAGCCAACGTAACAAAACAAAACAGCGGCCGCGGCTCGGCCCGAACGCAACGCAGCCCGGCCGTCTCGGTCAGAAAAGAACACAGCCATCGAAGATCTGCCCGGGCGCGGGCTCCGCGGTCGGCGGCGGCATCAGACGCGCGACAGCTGGTGCAGGATGTTGGACGGCAGAATCGCCTCCAGCTTGTCCAGGATGTACTGGATCGGCATGTATGACCAAGCCAGAATCTGTCGCACGGGGAGCTCGCATCAGCACGGCCGTACAGCACAGCCACGAGGGCCGTCCCAGGCTCACGGAGACCACAGAACGAAGCATACACAAATCCCTTTTGGAGCTTTTGGAAGCGACACTTCACAAAGTTTCTCAAGTAAACCTTTGTTTGAGGGCTGATGGCCTCTATGCCATATTAAAGCGGCAGCTCCGCAAGGCGAGGAGATGCTAGTCGCACACGTCGACCTTGTGCTCTTCAGGGCTTTTCAGCAATATCGGGAGGGGAGCGTTCGTGGCGGTCCTCTCCTGGCAGTGAGCGCCAGCGGACCTCGCTGAACCAATGAAGGGCCCCCATCGTCCAAACGTCTACGACTAGAACTCCGGCTCTTTCCACCACCACCACTACAATATACGGCGTACCAGCTACTGGCCTAAAGATACACAGGGACACTGTGTCACACCATCTAGAGGGCTCCACAATAACTGCACAACATAATTCTGTATGGTACACGGCATGACAAAAGTGACAGCAGTACAGCTCAGAACACTGCATGACAGCAGTACAGCTCAGAGCACTCTGCTCAGTACACGGCATGCTATCCAGATACCCACCGGCTCTGGATCAACCAGTCCTCATCGGGCACATGCCCGCAGCGGCCCCGGACGCCACACACCATCCCACGCAGTGCAGCTCCGTGACAGCCGCTGCTCGTGACCGTGACCTGCTCGTGATCGTGACTCTGCCCGTGATCGTGACCTCCGTGACGTGGCAAGAGCTGACCGACGCCAGCGCGGCCCACTAACCGTCTTGGCGACGATGCCCATCGGCTCGGGGTACTGGTGCGTCAGCAGCGCCAGGATGGCCGTGCACGAGCACAGCGCGCCCGTGAACAGGATGAAGAACGGCAGCTCCTTCTTCGGGTATACGCTCACCTCGTGAAATGCTACCGGCGGGCGTGCGAACGCATCAGTGGCGGCGAGGCGCTGGGTTCGAATCCCGGCAAATGCATACGAGTGCGAAAAATGATACTGAGAAGCATCTAGAAAACGGTCGCACGAGTTATATGCTGAATGGCGTTCTAGGCTACAGTCTTGCTGAACTTGTGGAGCCCACGCAAGCCTACGCCTAGCTTTCTTCACGCAGTGATTAACAACACTCAGTGTGACCGCGAGGTGTCATCGCATGATCGTCCTACTGCACACTAGCTCTCTCAAGCCCACACTACACACACTGGGTACTCCAGACGTCCCCCCCCCCCCCCCCCCAGCGGAATTACCACCACCTGCTCACCTGGCAGCAGCTCACGGTCAGCGAACTCGGTGCTGTTGGGGTAAGGGAAGAAAAGATGTCCCTTCTCCAGCGGGTATGGGATCATGCGGAAGGTGCCCTCCCAGGTGCAGTGCAGCAGGTTGAGCGCACCCTCCACCCGCTTCCAGTGCGCCAAGTGGAAGAAGGCGTAGGCGATAGCCTCGCTGTCGCCGCGCTTCAGAATGTGCTCGGTCGGCAAGATCAGCGGCTTCGTCTCCAGCAGGTACTGCCGGCACCGGCAAACGGTGTTCAGTCGAGATATATTTAGTTCACAGTTACACGATCAGAAAGACACAGACAAGACAAGACGTTTGCAAAAGAAAGACGTTGGTCCCCGAGCGTTGCCTCCAATAAACAATGACTCCCAGAGTACCTCCCTAGAGTCAGCGAGCACAGGCAGACTACAGTGACATCCCCAACCCCCGCCCCCCGCAGAAAAATCACATCCGGAGCCCGTCCAGCGGCTCAGCACGGTACCTTCGGCACGTGCGGGTTGAACTCGACGGCGCGATGTATGGCTTCTACGGCAGCCAATTCGGCCGACGTCAAACCGCGCTTAGTAGCCACGTCCGGGGAGAACCTGGCGGACCGAGGCGGCGGTCAGCGGGGACACAGGCCCACACACGTGCGGGGGGAACCTGGCGGACCGAGGCGGAGGTCAGCGGGGACACAGGCCCACACACGTGCGGGGAGAACCTGGCGGACCGAGGCGGCGGTCAGCGGGGACACACGCCCACACACGTGCGGGGAGAACCTGGCGGACCGAGGCGGCGGTCAGCGGGGACACAGGCCGACACACGTGCGGGGAGAACCTGGCGGACCGAGGCGGCGGTCAGCGGGGACACAGGCCGACACACGTGCGGGGAGAACCTGGCGGACCGAGGCGACAGTCAAAGGGGACACAGACCGACACACGAGCGCGAAAACCTGGCGGACCGAGGCGGCGGTCGGGCAAACGTCCCGTGAACAGACACGCACCAACTAAGACACCTGGATACACGCCTTAACTCGGACAGATAGCGCCCAGGCGCGGTTTGTAGCAGTATTATCAAATAACCAACAGTAGCGATGCTTCCTAACGGCATTGAATTCAACCGAGGGTTTCCAGAGGGCCGGTGAGCCTTAGCGTAGTCTGACAAAGTTGCGATGAGATATCTCTAAAAGAGTTCAGCGGAATGTCGGCGATTCATTTGCGTTATCTGGTGCATCCACCCGGCAGGTCACGTAAACATACGATCAATAAGGCACCACGACGACTCGGAGGACCCTGAATCCTCGGCCCCGGCCATTGCGGCGCTCACAGGATCACGCGGAGCCAGCAGCCCCCTAGATAAGCAGAGCGATCCTTCCCACACATGCAGCACCGGGCGCCGCCACGCGCTCGCGAGCCTCACTTGTCGGCGACGGCGCGAGCCTTCAGCAGCGCGGCCGTGTAGCAGATGGTGGCCGACTTCGGCAGGCTGATGTCGTCGTAACGGGCCAGCACCGCCTGCGCGTCCACGTACGCCTGCGCCTCGAGCAGCGCCTCGAGCAGGTTTTCGTGCATGTTTAGCACGCTCATCCACGGCGGGCTCTCCTTCAGCAGCTAGGCGGGGGCGGATGGCGAGTTAGACCTGATAGCCGAGCTCTCAGCCCCAGGCTTGGGGTTGAGAGCGGTGCCGTCAAGGACGTGCATTTGTCAAGAGAACGGCACTTCTGCGATCCTGCACTCCAATGGCAGGACTGGCAACGCCAATGATGTAAAAAGAGCGCACAGACAGCGAGAACGTGATACAACCAGGCCTTCGACGCTAACGACGCGGCGTGTGCGGCCGCGACCCGGACGGCGACTGGACGGGCGCCAACTCACGTCTCTGAACATCTTGATGGCCTCCTTGAGCCGTCCCAGTCGGCGCGTGCACATGGCCACCCGCCGCTTCACGTAGATCAGCACGTTCATATCCCGCCCTGCGGCAGGTACAGAGGCCGCTCACACGCGGCCAGACACGGCGGCAACTGTGCAGATGGTCCAGTGGTGCATGCCTGCAGCGCGGACTCGCAAAATTTGAAACACAAATAAGTTCATAGAGGTGACACTACGGTCACATCAAATTCACAACGCCCACCAGCCTCGCCGGGATGACGATGATTCGGGAGATAGGGCTCAGTAGACCTCTTAAACCTTACTGAGGGGGTTGATCTAGGTGGTCACAGAGCCTTGCAATGATGACACACATCTTCAATCCAGGGACACGTGCGCCTTGGAAGCCTTCCGCACATTACTGGGTGTTCGAAAACCAAACCGCACGGCTCCTGTAAAATGACGCCTATTCTGAAGACCACGTGTCAGTTCGGTGGTTAACAAAGAGCGCTTCAAACAGCGCTATGGACAGGCTGCGTCAGCCGGGGTGGAGATTCTCCGAGCACAGAAGCAGGTGGTCCTCCACTGTTACTGACTGTGGAGCGACTCCTGCGGCGAGTTGGAGTCGCGGTAGATGACCGTCTTCCTGAAGTTGGTCTCGGCCACCCGCAGCGCCTGCTTGAGAATGCGCTCCACCTCCAGGATGGTGGTGGACTCCTCCTCGGCCAGCAGGATGTAGGCGGCCGCAGCAGTCGGCGCTGCGCTCCAGCGCCTCCTTCGCCAGGCGAATGCGCGCCTCCGGGTTCCGCTCCCGCCAGGCCGTCTGCATGACTGCCGGCGGCGGGCGAGGTGGCGGCGTCAGACGGCGTTCAGCACGGCGAGGGGCACCGCCGCCGGCAGCTGCGGTGCCCCTGCCACAGTACATGTCCCGCCAGGCCGTCTGCATGGCTGCCGGCGGCGGGCGAGGCGGCGGCGTCAGACGGCGTTCAGCACGGCGAGGGGCACCGCCGCCGGCAGCTGCTGTGCCCCTGCCACAGTACATGTCCCGCCAGGCCGTCTGCATGGCTGCCGGCGGCGGGCGAGGCGGCGGCGTCAGACGGCGCTTAGCACGGCGGGGGCACCGCCGCCGACAGCCACGATGTGAGCCCACGGTGTGCGCTGAGGCACAGCATCGGAATGCCGGCGACAGCCAGCCGTGCTGGAGCATTTCAATGGGAGCACTACGTGCATTTTAGGGACACGCATGATTGTGCTTGTCTTATATCGCAAAAGCCCGAATAGCTTAGCCCTCATTATACGCCTTCTCCACACCAGAAACCTGACTCACGATGCATCACTCTCGTAACCTGACCGGTGATATTGGATAAAACAACGCTACACAGAGTGTGAACACGGACGAAACGTCGTACATTTGTATGCTTACATAAACAGAATTCCCGGGAAAAGACGTAACATGTCAAACATGCCGCGGAAGTTGCGTCCAGATCCAGCAGGTTGAGGCGCGGGCGGTCGATGATCCATTCGTAGCACGCAGAGTGACTCACTCTCGTACTCGGGCTTGCCCGAGTCGGCGTCGCACGTGAAGAACGTCTGGTGATCCTGGGCCGACAGGTTCATGTCGTAGTAGGTCAGGGGCTCGCGGTGTCGCGCCGACTGGAACCGCTGATATTCGGCGCCGCGGAACAGGTTCAGCGGATTCCTCCACATCTTACACTCTGCGGCCGGGCGGAGGAGACGCCGGTCAGCCCAGCGCAGACACACAGCTTGTACAGCCCCCGCGGGCGCAACGACAAGGGAACAAGTCAGAGCTCTAGCTCACACGCGCGGGAGAGAAATCCGAAAGTCGGCTCGACAACGAAATTTGGAGGCTTTCTCGCAAGAACCGGAGCAAGACAAACCCAGATAGGTCCCCCGACCCACGGCTCCATATTTCTGTACGCCGAATATAAACGTTAAAAAGCGCCAAAATGCAGCTTTGCAGCATCATATCATTTCCCGCATTTCCTAGAGAAAATTTTTGCAGGCGATGTGGCCCACAGCAATTTCGTGTTCACTAACCCAATATGTGGCGCCCTGATGCTCTCAATCGCAACGAAGGAGAGCACAGTACGAGTCGCGCGCGATACCTATGGTCCAGCACGGCCAGCTGTGCTTTCCTTTCCGACATTATGCCTGCCGTGCCACACCGCACCACTGGCCGAGTGCCGCGGCGCAGCCGGACACGCGGCCGGTACATGACAGGAAGCCTGTATCGCGACTCTGCAGGAGGCAGTTCCGGTCCGGTGCCGGACTAGTCTGGTCTCATCCCGAACCCGGATACACGCGCCGACGTGAAAGATCATCGACCACCCCGCTGTCGATACCATGCCTCCCGCCTCGTCGTAACTTCGGACAGTCTTGGTTCGGTCACACTGGATACGAAACGCTGACCCTTACAGACCAAGGAGCGTTTAAAAAGGTCGACATCGGAAAAAACATGTCCCACAGAATGCACTGCTAGCACTCAATCTGTCCTGGATCTAGCCTGCCCCCGGGTGTGACTTCAGCTCGTCTCACTGTCCGGACCGGTGCCGTCTTGATCCGGGTCAGTTAGCCCGCCCCGCAGGCACGCGGCCCTTGGCAGGGGCCCTCCTATGACGTCACATCATGCCACTACCAAAACTGATGTCCTATTCTGGCAACCCTTAAAAAATGAGTCAGGCGCTGCAGCGATTGACTATCAAAGCCACCATGTAGGTGAGTCCAAATTTCAAGGATCCCTCCCAATACAGCACAAGACACTTGATGCCGAAACAGGTAGGTTCTGTACAAAGCGGAGCATGCCACGCTCTGCTTTTGTAAGGCGCAACACGATGCATAATAGATCTAGTACCCTGATCCCTATTGGAATAAAAATGCTGGCCAGGGTGGGGGGAGGGGAAATGGAGTTTTTGAAATGCTAAGCTTGTGTTTTTCGAATTATCCTGTACATGCCACAGTTTAGCGACTTCATCTAAAAGAGAACGACAGTTGCGAACTGTACTGCAATGGAAAGGAGCTTCCCATGCATGAGTTCAGGACAAAAACCGAAGCCACATGCACAGCACAATATATCAAATAGACCTGCATATAGAAATGGCCTCGATTTGGTGCCTGAATACAATCTATGCACAAAACAATCAACCAAATTTACCTGCACAAAGAATGGTTCCTTTGGTGGTACACTAAACACTGTCACCAAAAATCAGCATCTATCTGTGACCATATTGCCTTCGATGCAAAAGACGCACCATACACGTATGCACGATGACTGCTGAATTCACGGGATTACATCATCCGATATTAAATAGAACACTACAGTTACCATGAATCCGTGGGTGGTAGCCATATCCAGTCCGTGAGTAGTTACTGTATTCCTACACTCTCAACACGCAGAGACAACATTCTACACTTTCACTCTCAACACACAGGCCACAACCCGTCCACAACCGGTCGGCACAAGCGGCGAGCGGGCGGCGGCCCGGTCAGCGCGAGAGCGCGCGCGCGACTACCTGGCGTCGGGGGCTGCCCGTCGCCGTTGTTGCTGCCATTGTCGGAGCCGTCGGAGCCATTGGCGGCGGCGCCGGCGGCGTCGGCCGTCGCGTCGCCGCCGCCCAGCCACGGGCTCAGGTGTGTCAGCGACACCTGCTCGATAAACGAGGTGCCGTACTTGCGGAAGTACCACCATTCGAAGATCTGGAACGGGGCAGCGGGCCGGCGTCAGCCGGGCGCCGAGGACATTGCGTATACAATCGAAGGCTTCTCGAACGGATATGATCATGGGGACTGCTGCCCGACACAGTATTCACGGTCGTACTTATTGAATTTCACTTGCTCTTGGAATTATTTGGCTCGTTATGATACTGATATATATATATATATATATATATATATATATATATATATATATATATATATGAAGCAACTTTCTGATGATGGCCACCCTTGATTCATGGTAGCGTAATGTAACCCGATGTAACCAATCATAGATCCATCAGTTATCATGAATATGCCCAAAGATGACAAGTGGGTCATCCACATCTCACAGCTGAAAAATATGAATAACCATTTCTTAAACAGCTAGCATCTATTGTGGAACAACTCAAATAATAAAAATACCCTCAAAACAACTCACATATCTTCAAACATCATAATATAACTTTCTAATGTAACCTCAATATCACTATTAATATGAATGTATAAGATAGCCTCAAATATCCACCAAAATAGACATGCTTTGTTTAGGAACTGAGGCACGCATCGCGCGGCATACGAAGACAGCGCAATAACACAACAATACGAGATTAGCTGTTAAAAATACAACATAGCAATTCACAATGACATGACTCACCAGAATCAGTCCCGATATCAAAGATGAAGTTCCCGTAAGAGCCACGTAAAACTTCGGGCTCAACGTGCTGAGAAACATATTCGCTGAAACAGACAGGGGCATCACGTGAGCCTAACCTCCTTATTACACTTGAACCGGCCTCGCGTCCCCGAAACAGTTAGGGAAGCACCTGCCCTGACGCACCGTCGCTAGTCACGATCGCACAGTGAGCGACAGAAAGACCCACCATTACGAGCCATCCGCCTGAGGTGCTGCACGAGCAGGCCCAGGCCGTGGGCGGCAGGCGGCGCCGGCGGCCGGGCCGGCCCCGTCCATAGCTGCCGGACGACTGAGCGCTGCTCACCGAAGCCGAAGACCCGCGAAACCGTGTCGGCCACGCAGGGCTTCAGGGGCGGCGCCGACCCTCCCCCGCTCCACCCCTCTCCCCACACATGCAGCAGGTGGGGGCATGACCTCCGCACACCGAGACCGGGTGGCGCCTGTCGCATGATGTGCCTATGCTCGTGGAAGGAAGTACAGGACTATGAGAGCACCATATAAACTTATTCTAAAAGCTCCAAAAATGCTTCAGTTCAATTCCATGACACATCAGTCCTTGTTGACACACAAGACAAATCAAAAGTCCTTATAATTTTCGTAGGGTACAAGTAGCCTCAGCTTGCCAATGTCATAACAGGCAGTCATTTTGACATGTATGAACTTACCCATGTTCATGCCAAATTCTTCAAACCTTCATGCATTGCTGAAACAAGGTAGATATTGTCATCTGAAGCAAAGCCACTGGGTGAAAAACATGAGGGTGAAAGAAAAGCAGCCCCTAGCAGCAGGACAGGAAGCTTCCTAAAAAGTTAAACATTTTGAATGAAACTCACTCCATTTTGATGAAGCAATAGCAATAGCCTGCTGTTAAGTCTTCCCATGGAAACAGGCCACTGTTGATTTCCTTTGTCTTCATATAGCTGGCTAAACAAAACAAACACCTGAGCCAGGGTGTCACTGACCCTTCCATTTGGTTATCAAGTTTAGGCATGGCTGCATCGCAGAAGGAAAGGGGATGGCAAGACAAGTTTCCAATCTTCATATGATTTAACAGTATGCCCATGAAACTGTGTGGAAAGGGACATCTTAAAAAGTCTGATGTCCACTCACAGGACTTTTGATAATGACAATGATCTTTGACTTCACAGCCTGGTGCAAAACTGCCCCACAGTTCAGTCAGGCCACTTGAGTGGTGGATCAATGTCCCCACACCAACATGTGGTTAGCAAGGACTGGTGATGTCTACAGCCTTTGATGCTTGGAGGTTCAACCACTGATCTGTAGGGTATAAGCTCCTGCTTTGAAGGGTCAAACTCACAACTTGGAGATGAATAATAAGAAACAACACAACCAGAGTGACACCAGGGGCCAATCCCCTATGCATGACATCCATGGTAAGGACTCCAATTTTGATGTAACTTAAGTAAACATTCATGTGATTGAATGAAGGAACTATATAGTGCAAGCTATAACCCAAATCACAATGCTGCAGGTCAGAAACTTTGCAATTTTACAGTTCCTAATGACACAGCAATAATATATTCATTGATTGTTTTGCTGTTTTTTACAACTGTTTTCTGCTTTATACTTTTGCTGTTTTACTTATTCAGTGGAGCAAAATGAGGTGAAACCACATTTTTTCTATCTGAAGTCCATGCTTATGTAGAAGGGTCACACATCATGCAGTATGGCTGGTCCAAGTCAAGGGAAAAACATATGCAACCAGGAGACCATATGGGTCCACTAAATAATTTCCTGGCTCATCAACCTTAATTTTGAAGTGCAACAGGCTTTCTGCCTTTATTTTCAGTAGTGATGATTGTACATCATGTATCAACTATACTCTAACTAAATTTGAGAGGCAGATTGCACAGCTTAACCTGCCATGGCCTCAAAGACTCAAACAGAAAGAAGCACATGCTGATGACTCTCGCCACTCTAGCCCAATATAACAGGTGGGGTGCATCAGACTAATGTAAGAAGCTTTTAATGTTACACACAGGACTGCAATCCTCCATATTTACAAAGCCCAGGGGCACCAATAATATTTACCAACCATCCTAAAACCTCACAACTAGTAGATAAGAGAAAGTATGCACAGAACTAAGGATGTATTATATAGCTAGTTTACCTAAATATGACAGGAAGCTTATAGCTTGGTGACATGACTTGTTGGCAAGGCCAGAATTTTAGGTATTTGTCAAGGCTTTGCTATCTCAGAAATGTGTTTGAATACTGGACTAAAAACATGCATTTTCAATATTCATTTCAATGAAAAGTCTGCTTCCTGCAGGTATCGCAGAAGCAAACCATGCTTTTATTCTAGTTAATGATCCTTGCTTATTTCTTAAGGCTCATCACCAGATGGCAATCCATGGCTGAATCTATGTACTTGTCCCTCAGAATCAGAGATGTTTCTGAGACACAGCACTATATGTTCAGATGCATATGCTTGTAAAACAAGAAGCATGTAAAGAGAGTTTCAGCTTTGAAACATTTGTACATATGTAGAAACAATGGACAGTGATTGGTGCCCTGTAGCATTGCAATGGTTGACTGATGTCCACAGTCTTGTGGTTAGCCTATATTCAAATGACTCACTTTAAAGCTGAGCTTACTCTCAGTAGAACTAAACACTAAATTTGATGACAACAGGTTCTTTTTCACCACATGTATGCCTTAAAATGTTGATACCAGATATTTCTAATCTTATCAGTTGCCATTTTCAGATACATGCTTTGATCTTATCTGAAAAGAATTAGGAATATCCACATGTCAAGCAAAATAGGTCTTCTACATCGAACCCACACTTAATCATCACTTGTAGGTGGGATGGGGATTCAGAAAATGAGCAGACACCACTGCCGCTGGTCAAGGCTTTGTGCTAGGGGGCGAAACATGTGTCGCACACATATGTCACCATATCCAGAACTTCAATTGACAGAATACCACATCCAAATGCGAGCTTTTGCTTTACAACTCCCGCAACATTTATCCAAAAATAAGCATGTTATCATCGATAGTCTGGTGGACAATTCAGCTCAGCATGTGTTTTATCAGCTTGCTCAGTCTTCAACGACGTCGCAAATACCCAGCAGGGATTTCCACGTGTGAAACACCGATAAAGTAGTTACTCATGACACATATAAAAATATCACTGCATTTCGCACAACTTGCACCCATCCTTACCACACAACCAGCACGAGACAGTCGGCAATGTTGCGATCAGACGGGGCTGCTGCCAGTTTTCGTATGTTTTTAGTATATAGTAAAAGTAGCACTTATTCCATATACCATTGCATAGCCAAGAAGTACTGAGTGCAGAAAATGGCAAACACGCTACTTTATTTTATGAAATTTTCTTTGAAGCTAAGAAATGGCCATAGTAGGGTACATTACAGTGTACTACCTTGAGTCAGTTCCCTATCTTACCACCTCCCAGCACCAGCTTTGGTATATATAACAAGTATCTTAAAACCTACCGTCGGATTTTTACATTCATGACACCTTTGTTTCATTTACGATACGACTGTGTCTAAACAGCTGTCTCAGTCTAGCTTATGAAAATGTGCGTGATGCGGCGCAGAACACCCGGGGTGTACGTGGTTGGACTGGTGGGTACGGTGGTAGCTTTGTTCATGAACGATATACTAGTATTTGTCTTAGAAATTGCATGAAATGAAAAAAGATGGAATTCGTTGTCATTTTGTATTGAAAGACGCATAGGCCAAGTCGATCAGCCTGACTGGAATATGCTTCTTCGGGTCGAATGTTTATGTGCTAAACGGCGAACACGTCCATAAGCACATGTCCTGATATAGATCTGGCGTTTTTTATGTAGACTTTAACAAGAAAGCATGCTTTTCCGTTTTGACATATTTCTTTTTATTTAAATCTCGAGCTGTGTGGAATTGCATTAAACACTATGATGAACCTTAAGTCTGATGCACAAGTGTAAAAGGATATTTTTGTCACATATTGATCCTTATTGTCAATGGGACAGTACTGATATATGGCAGTCAGATGGCTGGAAAAGATAAAATTGATGACTGACCATTGGCTGGAAGAGAAGGTGTTAAATTTGGTCTGTTCCCATGACTCCTTCCAAAAAAGATGCTATTAGTTTGGAGAAGCTTGGAATCTCCTCCAGGAGACTCCAATCTCCAAGAGAGAGGAGGAGGAGCTCTTCATCTGCATCAAATCTACAACTACAGGAACAATTTTGGAAGAGGTAACAGCTGTCTGTATATCTTCCTAAACAGCTTTGGCACATTTACTGTAAATGATTGATATAAAAGGTATATTTTAATTATATATAAAAGGTAAAAGGTTTATATAGATATAAATCTGAAAATAGTACCTTTACATTTAATTTACTTGCACCAATTTTCTCATCTGTCCTTTTTTCTGTTATGTGACAACAAATTGAAGGTATGAATGAACCATGCCACTATTATCTGCTATAGCCTCCTCCATAATATAGCCTCCATATAGCCTCCTCTGAGAAACCACCTCCCTTATCAGAGGAGGCAAGAGTAGGTTCAGGGTTTTTCAACTTGGAGGTGCTTGGAGGAGGTTGCAACCCCAACTCATGCTTGAGGGCTCATAAAATACATGCAAAGCTTTTTATTTTCCCTGATAAAATTTGTCCCAATGCTGTACCCAGGGAGGCTTACCTGGCAGGCCATTGCACATGATTTGCAGCTCTCCCAAACAGGTAATAATCCATCTGAAAGTTGCTAACCATTGCCAGTTTCAGGTTTTGCGAACTATCCTAGTGTGTTGCCCATGCTTTGCACATTGCCTGCACATACTAGTGCATTTGTGGCACCTTCCATGGGTAAAACTAGAGAGGTGCTCAACATAATGTATAGTGTTTGTGTATGCAAACCCTATTTGGATTGCCATAGCAGTAAAGATAAGCTTGACCATGGGGTACATCAGAATTTTAATATTGGAAAACAATTTGAATGGGAGTGAAATCCCAAATTGAGAACATGAAGTTAGGGATCACCAAGTTTTTTAGATATAGGTACATTTGTACCCACACAAACCTACACTGGAAATGCAACTAAATCTATAAGACCACTGCTTCATCAAGAATGAGATCAAATTCCTGACATGCATCACCTGAACTGGCCAGCCCTGGGCCAGGAAATCATCTGGCTGACAAGGGGCATTAGTTCGCACATTATCATTTTTATGCATAGATGACCAATCCCAAAACAAAATTCACCCAAAATACTTCTTAGTGTACACATATTGGAATTGTCGCCATAGCGTCATTACTTGGGAACATTTCCCACATAAATAATTGGGGATGATTGAGTATTTGTGTCATTGAAAAGTAATTGCTTAGGCTGTTTTCTTCATTACTATGATTGTGTGCCTTGGATTTGCCCACCTTTCAGTTGTTGAGCTCTGTGAAATGTGATAGACAGGGACATGGAAGACTGTGTTGATTTACTGACATATTATTATAATTTGTACCCTTTATTTCAGGTGCTGACATGCCAACACCACACTAGATGTCTGTAGAATATCTGGAAGAAACAGATCCTGTTATATAGCACAGTAATTCTCATTTATTCAGATGGCAAATACTGACCTTAGATCCCTGTTCCATACAAACAGGTAATATTTTCAGTACCATGCTGCATAGGTTTGGTGCAAAATTTTCTTGATTTCCCTTGTCCCTTGAACTCTGCAAGGGATCTGCAATGCTGTTGTGTGTCATTTGAAGAGCTTGAATCCCTTTTTTCCTCTCAGTGTTCTCCTTGCCCCTCTCATATTGTAAAGGTATGGGCAGGCTCCATATGACATTGGTTGGAGACTTGTGGCTCATGTGTTTGAAGCGTACTTCGAATCTCTGCATGGTGCCGAAGCCGCCGTCGCCACGCTTGGGCGTCGGCGCCCATAGGCATAACGCAGTTGATCGTGTCTTGCCAGGTAACCAAGCTGCCAAAGATCAATGTCGTGAACTGTACCGCAGACTCCAGTCCTTAAACGCCGCACGTGGGCGGTGTTCTGCATGTCTAGGGCCCCATACCGCGGATATCGGTTGTCTTCGGCCGACGTGAGACCTGACCGATGTGAGGCGGACATGAGACGGACGTGAGACGCCCCGTCGCCGGCGTCGGACGGCGGCAGGCAGCCGCTGTCGGCACTGCCTGACCGCGTCCCCCTCCTGTCCAGGCTGCCCTCGGGCGTGCCGCTGCTGCTCTGCCTGCTGTACACGCCGCTCGGACTCGGCCTGCTGGTGGTGCGGCTGTTCATCAGTGTCCAGGCGCTGCTGGCCTTCACAGTGTTCCACTCGGATGGCGTGCTGCGCAGGTAAGACGGCACGGAGCGGTGCTCGGAGGCCGCACTGCCCTCGCCGCCGCCCTGCGTGCGGGAATGATGTCCCGTGGTCTGCTCTGATGGGAGGAAAGGTTAATGGGCTCAGGCGACTTCGCCTGCCTCCCGGTGCCGCACTCCGTGTGTATTGCCTCTTGGCGTGGGTCCAGTTAGCATTATAACGGTCGCGGGCCGTGTGTTGGCAGTGTGGTGATGCGGGTGATGTCGGCCGTGCTGGGCGTGTTCGTGCGCGTGGAGCCGGGCTGCACGCCCGACGGCCAGCCCCGCCTGCTGCTGGCAAACCACGTCTCCTGCCTGGACCCGCTGGCGCTGCAGCTGGCCGCGCCGTGCGACTCGGTGAGCGGGCCCGCCGGCCGGCGCATGCACTCTGAGCTGTTGTGCTTCAGTCTGTCAGCGCGGCAGCCCCGTCACCCGGCAAGCCCACGTGACATTGTCCCCGTCCGTTGGAGCTGTCAGGTCTAGATCTTCGAGGAGCTGTGCATCCAGCAGCTCCCAGCCGGTCTGTTGGGAATGCGTCTTGCCTTTTGCGCGCGTTCAAAGGCATGTTTTGAATCAAATTGGCAGGCTCAACATGGCGGCTGTCATGTTTGCGTGCCCTGTGTTGAGTTCAGGCTGTTTTTCTTGCGCTGTTTGAACACTTCCACAACGGATGCTGCAGTGTCATTTATGTTTGTCGTAACGCGTGCTCCATAATGCTGGTAACCACATTTTACGGGGCTGTGAGTCCGTTGTCAGTCTATCCTCTGAGTGTGAACCCGACACCGTATCCTGTCTGACTGCCTTCGGCTTCAGCTGCACTGTGTATCTCACATTGTCGTGTAAAGGACGAACATGGCGGTCCGCTCTCTGAGCTGCTGCTGTGCACCTCAAGGTGTGCTCTGTAGCCCCACGTGACCCGTGCCCGCCGCCCGCAGGCCTGCTCGGCCGGCACGTGGCCGGTCGTGCGGCATGCCCTGCGGTGCCGGGTGGTGGCCTCGCCAGAAGCAGTCGAGCGGTGCGTGACGGAGGAGGGCCGCGCCCTGCTGCTGCAGCCGGAGGGCGCCAACACCAGCGGTCGCGCCGGACTGCTCACGTGAGATTCACCGACACGCTGCCGCCGGGTGGTGAACTGGGCCGCTGGGTCGCACTGATCGAGCGTGAACCGGCATGTGGGCCGATGCCGCCCACCCTTTGAACCGATCTTATGGTACATGAGTGCCTTGTGTGAGTGTTTGAACCAATGACGACGCAGCATGACCTCGGAGCGGTACAGCTGCTCATGTTCGGAGTGAACAGGGTCGGTGCTGTCGCCAGATTCTCGGCCCAGTGCGTGCCCCGCTCGTTGGAGGTGCAGCCGGTGGCACTGCGCGCGCAGCGGCCGCCGCTGACTGACGTCAGTATCAGCACGCTGGCGTCGTCAACCTTCTCCGACCTGCTCTACTTCCTGTTCGTGCCAGGCACTCTGTTCACCGTCAGGTGAGAGGATGCACCCAGGGATCATAAATGGCCGGGTAGTTAGCGCTGGAGCTCTTGCGGGGGCAGTCTGGATCTGTAGCCCGGGTGCGCCATGACCCCTGGTCGCTAACATGACTGCCGTGGTCGCTGGCGCCCCAGAAAACGCTGCGCGATGACGTGCGTCGTGACAATTGAAAAGGACACGCACCGGAAGATCGCCGACTGTTCTGGGTCAGACATTGAACCTCAAAGACGGCCACGCGTTGGCTCTCGGGGACTGACGGATCTCGAGCATTAGACCTCAAAGACGCCGCGCATGCACTCTCAGGGACTGACGGATCTCGGGTATTAGACCTCAGAGACGGCCACGCATGCACTCTCGGGGAGTGACGGATCTCGGTCATCAAACCTCAGAGGCGGCCTCGCATGCACTCCCAGGAACTGGCGTGCGGTGTGCTTTGAATGGGCATGGGATTACTCGGGACGGGCACTGGTGATGCTTTGGACTGGCGTAGGCTGCTCGCGGACACCGTTCTGGTAGCTGAGGCCAGGTCACTGCTTCGTCTACATGCGTCATAAATTGATTGCTTCGACGATGTAGTGCTGTAATGTATTTCAGCAATGCATGTTAACGTAATGTTTAATTCGTGCTGAAGCAATGGAGTTTGGTTGCATGATGTGCTGTTACCGTTATTTTGCAAGTTACATTGAAATGAAAGATTCATATCACAAGATATTTCAGTGGGTGGGCTTGCTATTTCGTCTCGTTAATCGATAATGTTAAGTTGACCTGCATATTAATTGGTGTATTGTTTGGTTGTTTCAGCTTTCTGAAGCCAATGAAAATGCAAGAGACTGAGACGACCGCGGAATTCTTGGAGCGTATCCGACTTGCAATTGCGCTTCATCTGAAAATAACACCCACCAAATTCTCATCTGGTGACAAAGTAAGCCTTATGGAACATCATCGTTTGCTAAATGAATCTCATATTGTCGATCCCTACCTGCGCGTTTTGATGCATCTGGAAATTGTGGCAAAAAAATGGCCGACAAATTTTATGCTTCCCAGCTGTACCTACCGTGTGCGATCATTATACACCAGCCGACCCAGTGGGGCAATTTTGTTAATGCATACTAACAGCCGAGACAAAAATCTGGTCTGTGCAGACTAGTCTCCCAGATGTTTTGCAGGCGTAGTGAATTAAGTTTTTTGCATGTGACAGCCGGTACCATCAATTTGTATTGTGCTTTGTCTCGGTTGGAAACCAGTCTAGACTGGGCGGTTGGTGATAGGCTGTGGGTGGAAACGAATGAGGTGAACTCACGACCACTCCGTGCTTCCATTTTTATCATGTGGATGACAATCTGATCATGTTTCGCCACTAACGGTAGTTAGTGGTGAAATGGCGTGTATGCCTGTATACACACATCGCACCGACGGCGTGGAACCATCAGCGCTCCGTGCAGCGCCGACTCTTCGTTGCCTGTTGACAACGAGCATCTGTGTCTTTGCAGGCGGAGCTGGTGAAACGCGAGACGTTCCGCGCCGTGCCGCGCCGAAGCCGGCCGCCGGGCCCCAGCCCCGAGCTGCAGCGCATGGCCACCCAGGTCAAGGAGGTGCTGCCCCGAGTCCCGCTCACCACTATCGTCGATGACCTGAGTGAGTGACCGGGGCCAGGTCGTCCGGCGGTGGTGCGTCTGTTGGGCCTGACCAGGAAGTGTAAGAGTGCACGGCACCACGCATCTCCGCCGGCCGCAGATGATGGTACCCCTCCACAATGTATGCTGCTCTGCTGCAGTTTCTTCCCCCCACCACACTCGTCTCGCGGTGTCATGTGCCGCGTCTGACGCATTGGAGACACATTTTTGCAACCCGGTTCTTTGATAAGGACTGAAAGAGTTGAACGGTGTTGACTACATAGCATGGCGTAGGTTTTTTGCCATGCGGCCTGGTCAAGTGTGCTGATTATTTTGGAAATAGGAAATATTATGGCACCTTGTTTGCGTTGTCCTCAAAATGCAAGCCTGCAAACAGCGATTTGCGGAATCATAGGCTGCACGAATCTGGAGCTGATCATTGATTGTTATGTGTGATATATCCGTGACATTGGACAAAGATTGCTTCAAGCCTTCCAGTCCTGAATGAAGCTGAGCGGCGTCATCCTAGCCGTTCCCATCGCGTGCCCACAGAACGCACGCGCAGCGTGGACCAGACGATCGCCAACCTGCTGGAGGGCGTGGTGCGATACGTGCCGGAGCCGCCGCCGCCGACGGCGCCGGCGGTGCCTCCCTCGGCGGCGCCCCCGCCCGCGGCGGCGCCGATCGGTCCGGGCGGCACCGACCTGCGCACGGGCGCCGACGAGTTCGCGCGCACTTCTGCCGGCCGCCAGCTGTCGTTCGAGGAGCGCAAGCGGAGGCTTTTCGAGAACGCCCGGCGGCGCTACATTGAGCAGCACGGACTCAAAGTGCCCGGCTACAACTGCTGAGCGCGTGATGTGTGCGTCGTTGCCGCCTGGGAATACAGGCGATGGCGGACGATAGGTGAATGGATGGCGCAAGGCCCCTCCCCACGCCCATGAAAGATCATTGTTTGCTTTCCCTAAACAGTGAACGTCTTCCGAGTTTAGAGACCTGACAGGGTTTGGTATCTCGTACGTGAAAATTTAATGCATTTGACTTGCTGTGGTCAAAACCAGCACTCGGGATGTGTCTCGGGGCTCTTGAGTTAAGCAGTGCCTTCATCATAATTGTCGCATATATTGACAGTTAACTGGGCTTTGGTGAAGAGAATCATCTGAATCAAATGGAATTCCACCCATTGGATCAGCTCACTGGCTCGAACTGAACCTAATTTGACAGAGCCAAGCATAAAAAACGTACAAGGTGGAGGGCACTGTCTCGCGCCACCCTGGAGCAACCGCTGGTTATTTACTCACTGCCTGTTTCTTTCTCATAGGGGTATGCGGCATGAAAAGCTGTCCAGTTGTTATGTAACATATTCCAAATGTTTCAAGATTGGGGAAGTTCCAGCAATTCTGGATCATGCCTGCATTTCTTTGATAAGCCATAACCTGAGCATGAACCAGTGACGTAAATGCGTAATGCTTTTCATGTCATAGGAAAGGAACCCAATAATGTTGCCCTCAAGGCATCAGGCTTATCATTTGGAGGCTCCTTGTGTATGCTGGCACGTACCCAGGTGTCGGGCATCTTGTGTGCAATGTTGGCAGGTGGTAAATAATTGTGTCAGTGCACTGTGCTGTGGTCGGGATACTGGTACTTTGTGGCGGATGACGACTTCGGAATGTGTGGGACAACTGGTTGTCCGTTTCAGTTATTTTTTGTTTCTGTGGGCAAGCATTACATAATCTGTTTGGCATGGGATAAAATGTATTTTATCATTTAGATAACTACCTGTTTTTGGGTAATGGCTCAGAACTGATTGGTTTCATAACTGTGTAAAAAAGGCTGTAATTTAAAAATGTGCGTGATACAGATTAGGCCCCTGAAATAGAATATCCTGGCACTAACGTGCAACCTGTATTCTGTTTGCTTCCACGTGCGAATCATGAATATATGACGTCGCCACCACCATGCTGCCTACTGTTGGTCGGTTTTGTGCGGAAGGGTACATAATGCTTGCTATGAGAGCATGCCAACAGCAAGGAAGGAGAGGGCAGGATTCTGACAATGAACAGTTATGGGATCTGATCTCCCTTGCTATCTGTTAGATACTCCCGAAGGTTCGCCATGCGACGAGCGCGCCACGAATCTGACTCCCAGCACTATGCTAGCAATCCAACACTGGGCCAGTGGTGGACCTTTTTCAGAGATGGGCTCAACAGATGGAGAAGGGAATGTCCAGGCCGCTAGATTACGAATGAGCGGGGCGTCTGGGTTATACCGGTTCACGCCATGCCGTTATTGTCTTCATTTGGTCTGGTTTCCATTTCAATTTAGAGCCATTTCAGAGCTATATGACAAAACAGGAGTAAGCAGTGGGGCAATACTGCGGCCATGGTGGAGACCTACCGACCGCCAAGCGTTATCTAGCACGGGAACTTTCTTCGGGTGCGTGTTCGAGGGCTTCGGCGTGACTCCCGCCAGGGTGTCCATAGAGCCAGTACGCAGCGGTACTGCCCCGACATTGTCAGTAGCAAGGACGGAGCGTGAAGACCACAGAGCGGGTTACCTGCATCTGCCCTACGTTGGCACTTGGCATTTGCAGGGAATCCCATGGGAGGAAATACGTTCAGAATACTCAGGTGCAGCCGAAGGAGGGGGTTCCGCCTTAGGCCCTATTTTTTTAATTTTCTCACTAGAAAGCTTCTGACAAAAAGTTGCAAACCATCGTGATATGACCTTACTGCACTCCACCCCATTAGAAAACCTGGCTGCATCACTGGCATATTACATAGGCAGATATACGCGCCCAGAACGCTTCGACCACACGTACACATAAAGCCAAGCCCTCGTGTGGGGTGGAGTACCAAAGTATACCCAGCCAATTGAAACTCCCGCCACTATGCTTACCTCAGTTTCAGCACCAAGCTATTTTCAGCTTATCGACCACACTCAATTAAATATAAAAAAGATGATCTGCTGAAATTAAACTGAATTTCGAAAGGGAAAGCTGTAGATCTGTTTTACACTTTTTCATAACAAGCACTTTCAACCATCAGCACTATCTGCACAAATACGCATTTGTAAACCCTTATTCTTCAATAGTCATGCGCAGAAAGTATGATATTATTTAGTCCATCTCTGATAATTATTTTTACGCCAAAACATAAAATCATGTATGATTGGCATAAAAATCTTAATGCAACATCATAAATTTGCTGACCTATAACATTAGTGATTGATATTTAAAAACTATATTCTTTGAAACGAAATACTGAACGTTCGTTGCCCGTCCCCCGCATTCATTTGAAAAGTTGGCGCTCGTGTTTGTGGGCAGCGTTGTGGGTACCGATGTGTTTGGATGTTGTTTTACCGTAATAAATATCTACCATTTTCCCTAGCTTGGAGCATTTTAAGGTGAGTTTGGGGTTTCTCATTAAACCTTGATAAGTTTTTTGGATTCGGTCGAAACATTCAATCTAGGTTTGTACGTAATGTGTCAGTGGTTGTAATAGTAACGGCTTGCGTAATGTAAAATGAGTTAGGGGCTAAGCTGTGAAAGATTATGAAACGTACCTGAAAAATCTGCGATTAAATAGGTTTTTGTCCGAAATCGGTCCGCCTTTCTCAAGGTTTGGGGGGGGGGACTGAAGTCCTATACATTCGAAAAGGAAGCTACATCCCTGTGTAAGGTGACCAAAGCGGTGGGGAGACAAATACCCACTTGCCGAGTAGATGCACGGTGATTAATCGAATCATGGTGCTGGTGATAAGTGTGATAAGTCAGCCAATGTCTATGATTTAAATCAACATGCTTTAGTCATTTTGCCTTGGATTTAAGACAATGATCAAGGATTCAATGTTTGGATTCAACCACACACATTTGTAATGCCCTGATGTAATGTGATTATGCAGGCAGAATGTGTTTTAAACTGCAGAATATGTAGTTATTTGCTAACACTCATGTCTGCCACATTTACACCTTGTTTACTGCCCTATTTACCCCCCCCCCCCCTCCCCTCTCCATCCTTCAGCTGCATGTATGGGTATTTTCAAGGTATTTCCTCCAATGGGATTCCCTGAGATGCCATCTGCCAACAGGAGGCAGGTGTGGGTGACCGGCCCTGTGGTCTTCATTCATGCTCCACTCTTACAACTGACAATGCAGTGTACATACAAAACATGTTTATTCATGATGGTAGATCAGCCAATAGTTATGATTTAAATCAGCATGCTTCAGCTCCTTTGCCTAGGATTCAAAGCAACACACACATTTGGGATGTCCTGATCTAATGTGATTATGCAGACAGTTGGTTTCAAGATGCTGAATATGTAGCCATTTACCATCATTCATGTCTGTCACATTTACATATTGTTTACTGTTGCATTTACTGAATGTGATTCCCTCATTGTTTCTGAAACTTCACCATTCATATCATGTACCTAGGTAGCTTGTAATACATTATTTGTATGTACCTGATGCATAGCATAATTCTGCTTGTATCCCATTACCCAACATACCACCATGTAAGTAATTCAACAAGAGTGAAATAGAGGGGTGCTGGCAGTGTAGTGGTTAACGTGTCTGCGTTAACCGCTACACGTCTGGGAAACCAGAGGTACCGGTTCGATTCCCCGCGGTGCCCGCCCTTCCTGCCAGGGTGAGAGGCAGGTGACGCCATATAGCCTCAGCAGCTGAGTGCGTTGTAAGGTCCCAATGACATAAAAAGAGTGAAATAGAGCCTTTTAAGAACCTGTACAATATGATAATGAAATTGGCTGACATTTAGTATGCAAGGTTTAGCATACATTACTTATTTTATATTATTGTACATTCATACCTTATCAAAAATTATGATTGCAATGTTGCGTATGATCTGTATTATTTTATCACACATACATTATCCATTATATATTTCATGCTAAAGCAGCTGAGTTGTGTGAAAGTTTATTGGCTCAGATTTATCTTGCAAGATGCTTTTCAATGCGATCCTCAGGATTTACATTTTTGTGTCGGTGCTCCCAGTGAAAGATATACTCTTCAGCAAAACAAATATTGTGGGTATTTTACCCAAACCTGTATGTGTGACCTTGTGTTGCCATTGAGATGTTTCCAGGGATGCATTCCAATGTCACTATTGACAATTGTATCCCGTTTTCAGTGTGCACCAATGGCGCACGGCTATGTGGTCGTGGTGAGGCGCAGTGGAGCGGAGGGCTCTTCGTTCCCTGTGGTGACCGACAGCTGCCTGATAGGGCGTCACTCTGAGTGTGATGTCCGCGTCCAGCTATCCACAGTCTCTCGACAGCACTGCCGACTGGACATCAGCCCCGATGGAGAGGTGAGAGTCACATGGAATTGCATCAATCTGCTGGGAAGAGGAGTGGTGGGAGGGCGGTACACGAGGAGGTGGGTGTTGAGGGAGCGGACAGGGCAAGGAGCTAGAGCCTACCGGCTGGGTCACTGGTGATTGCGTCGTTCATCTTCTGCCGGAGCTGGGAGCTGAGGGGACGCTTCGCCCCTACACGCCCCAGCCGGTGCCCCTGCGAGGGAGTCTGGTCAGACCAGTTGTGCAAGGCAAAATTGGCGAATTTAGGTCAAACCTCTCCTTAAGACTACACTTTGACGATAAGGAAGCAGCATTGAATGTCCGTCACGTTAAATAATACGCCGATAGTAGCCCTTCGGTATGTGTGTGTATGTAAGATCCGTGTTGTGATAGGTCAGGTTGTACGCTCAGTGTGGGCTTCACTTCGTAATCTCACAAGTTAAGTATGACATGGCAGTGAAACATTTTGGATAACCATTATCACACTACATCCAAGTGTTGGTTTAGGTAATTTTAAACTGGTTTTTGAGAGGTCCTTTTTTCTGTAGATATCTTTGACATCCATTTGACCCTTTTTTGTGCGATAAAAATGGATCTTGCTGTGGTATGATGATACAGCAGGCCAATGGAGGATTTCTTTATTAGTTTCTAGAGAGTCAAATGAAAACAGAGTAGCTCAAGTGTGTGTTTTACTTCTCCAACAAATGTACGCGTTGAAAGTGAAGTAAAGTGCGCGTAAATGTCGTCAGTAAGCTTATCAACAACAAAGTAAGTGATGCGTATCTGTCAGAAGATACACCCCCCCCCCCCCTTACACCTGCCCTCAAAGACACAAACGCGAAAATTCCAGACATGTGCTTGGAGACGCAATGATTTCGAATTGGCGACAATTGTCATGCAGCTATTTGGGAGCCGAAAGGAGAAGCGCGGAGACTGTCTCCCAAGTCAATGGGAGTGATGCTCAGCTGTTATATATCTGCTAATGATACGCGCTTTTTGCTATGGCTGCTGTAAATCGCCGAAGCTTTTCCGATGACATGGCACTTTCGCTGAGTTTCGTAGCTGCTAATTTCTGGTTATTTCTAGCGCTTACACTGCTGGATTACATCGATTTGTGTATCATTGTAGCGTAACTTAAGCATATTTCTGCTTATGGCCGCGTAGGATTTTGAAGTAACATAAAGTACGTTGTCATGAATACTTATAAAGGTTCTGGCGTTTGGATTTATCCTCGCTACTGAAAATTACGGCGTCATTCCCTTCTTAATCCCAAGTTCACTGGGCTTCCTAGCCGCATGTAATATGAGGGCCAAAGCTTAGCATTATCATGTGGTGTTTCATTTCAGATCGTATCTATCCTATGCCTTTTGAGCTTGTACTGTTTGCCGCATCCGTGTCGTATCGCCCTGCTCGTACAATCGTAGGCCGACCGTGTCATGCGACATTTGGCTTACACTGCTTTACTTTGCGACCACTTTCCATGACGATATTTCTCCGGACGATGTTATCCCGTGTGAACGTATGCTTTATTCGTCAGCGTACGATCCGACCCCACACTATCTTGAAGCACGGGGTGTATCAAGTACGGGGTCTATCAATGGCGACATTTTCTTCGGTGATCCCCAGTCTCTACGAACCGTTGCTACGATCTTTCTGTGCCATCATTGGAGCATCATGTTTTCTTCGTGTTTTGTTCGTTTTTTTTCCTACGGTCTTCACGACCTCTTGACGCAATCACATACCATGTTGTGATTTATCTTCAACGTCACATTTTCGTCGTGTTTTCGATGTTTTCACAATGTTTGATGTTTTCTTGTACGCGATACGTGTTGGCGTTTGTTTTTTATATTTAAGCCAAACGTAAGTCGTTGGCTACCAATATCCATTTGTTTTGGTCCACTGCCCTTACATCGCACAAGCAAATTCATATTACGCTTGCTCACACTGGTTTTGCTGAGTATAAACAAGGAAGATCTTGCGCTGCCGGTTTTTCGCCATCGTGAACTCAGAGTTTGTATGCCAGTTTGTGTTTAACGGGACGTTGGTATGTCGCGACGGCGTACCCACTTCCGATTCCATGGGCGGACCGATATGAATCACATGCCGTCTGACCAATCGTCCTTGGCCGTCCGCCAGGCTCGTTTGACGACACTGGCGAGCGTGAATCCGCCGATGCTGAACGGCAAGGAGGTGCCGCGGGAGCAGCCGCAGCCGCTGCGGCACGGCGACGTGTTCACGGTGGGCGAGCGCTCGTTCCGCTGGAACTACCCGGAGGGCTCGCCGCTGTGGCTGGAGCCGGAGCCGGAGCCGTCGGCGGGCGGCGAGGGCTTGCTCGACCGGCCGCAGCGCCGCTCCTCGGGCCGGTCGCCGGCCGCCGTCGGCGCGAAGGCGGTCCGCTCGCCCGGTCCTGCCGCCGAGAAGGAGAACGATCCGGGCCAGGGGCGCGGCGACGCCGACTGCACGCTAGACACCTCCTCGGCCGCCGCCGCCGACACCGCCGCCACTGCCGCCTCTGAAGGTAACCGCTTCTTCTGGCTGGGCGTGGGCTGCTGTGTGGTGGCTGCCGCGCTGATGGTCGTGTGCGCGCGGGGCCCGAAGGAGCCGACCATACGCCTGAATCGGGCCTGAGCGTGCCCGCGCCCGACACGACCGACGAGTGTCGAGTGATAACCGAGGCCGATAGCCTGGCTGTCCCCTGCCTGCGTTCCGTTGAGCTGGACCGGCTGTACCCAGTCAGTCCACGCAGGTAGTGGCAGGGTGTCACCTTTGGTAGTGCTGTGATGGTAGGCTGTCTGGGGTGCGGCACCGGGCCATTCATTCTCCGAATTCAAGTGATAGTCGAAGTACAAATTTACTATTTAAATCTAGTGTATACATTTTGAAATTAATACATGCTCTTAAGATTCCTGTTGTGTCGATAATGGGACAGATTCCTGGGATTGGACCTCATGATTGCTGCAAACTCCACCTTCGACCGGTGGTTGTAACGGGATGATAATACATCTGCATCTGATATTGAACAGCAGCTCATTTTATTAGATTACCGTTCCATGACGGAAAGTCTCATAAAACAGTGCAGAACGGGTTTCGTGTTGGTATGTCAAACCAATATGAGGCATAACGGGGGGGGGGGGGGGGGGGGTCTGAAACATTTTGCCTTTTGCCGTTCTTAAGGGAGCTGAAAGTGGCTGGGCCAGCGAGAAAACTCCTCGTTTTGTTTCGTCTAGAACGAGCAGAAGTCGTGCTGTGGAGGAGATTTTCCACCCTCCAACTAATCTCGAACAATAAATATTGCCTTCTCCGCTCCCCGTTTTCCCGTCTCCTTTCCTCTGCTCCCCATCGTCTTTGGCCAGCACGCTGTGAACTGAAGCACTGCTATACTTAAAGTACCACCACCGTGTGCTCGCGCCCTAAAGAGCCTACAACAAGGCCAAATCTTTACTGAATTGGAGCAGCATAAGGGGAGAGCTCTCGGAAATGATGATGTCAGATGAATTGGAGAGAAGTTTGCCGCGCCGGATGTAAAAGCTTAAAAAACAGATCCAATCCCTTTCTGCCCAGTGTGAGAATCAAATAATCCCAGCATCTCACCAAATCCGTTGGGTTAATGCTGCCGTGGGCCGCCGGAAATCTACCTGGTAGCTAAAGATGGTACGGTCTCGAAAAACGACATGCTGCAGCTTAATTACTCGAGTTTCACCGAGAACGAGTGAAGACTTAAGTGCCGACATGACAAGTGGGGACATTAGAACGAAGGTTATTCCTCTGGACAAAGCGCCTGATTGTGAACGAAACTGCGAGGAACGGCGTCAGAAAGTCATGTCGTTCAGTGAAGTCCGAATGCCAGCTAGGTACAAACGCAAGCTTAAACACAGCAATCTTACTAATCACGCATTAAACAGCGGAACTTATAGGCGCCCGGATGGTCGGTTGAATACCCTTCGCCCGGTTGGGGAGTCAATTTGAGCCCCCCCCCCCCCTTAGATCTCAAACAAAGAAAGCTGGAGACGCCGAATTCCCAGGGTGTGTCGGCTTGTCCGTGAACTCACTCGTCAAAATTTGAGGTTCGTAGGTCGCCTGCTCTAAGCGAAAGGTCGCTGGTGCTCATTTTGGGGCAGTGACCTATTCTGACCTTTGAGAAGTCCATGGAAGATACTAAATATGGTTCCTGTTATCGATAAATTGGAAATGAACATTCGGAAATGATTCCGGAAAAGCCTTCGTGGGGTGAGGGGTCAAACTGACCCTCGCTCGAGCGCGTGTAAAGGTCTTCCACACCAAGACCGAATAGTCCGCCGAAGAAGGTTACGGTCAGCGCCGTAGCGGATGGCCAGGACCATCGCTTCCTTCAGCAGCCTCCATCTCGGTCAGCTCATTAGCTGGCTTCAGCTTCAGCTGACCTGCAGCCCGGTGACATCTGAGAACGATCTTGTAGTCTTTTTCATTTGTCCCCTGTCGCTGACCAAACCCATAGACTTTTGTACGTGAGGCCTGTTTTTCAACATCTGGCCTTTTACATCGTTCGTTTACACCGTTCGGTCTGCGTTTCATGCTGGCGTGTTGGGGTCGTCGACTATTTAAGATATGTGTTGAGCTCCCGTTGGTGTAAGTGACGATCGGCTAAAATGATATCTGAGGCCTGCTTGCTCCCCCAGTTGTTATATTGGTGAGCAACACAGTAGCTTGGAGTAGTTTATTTCGATCCAAGTAAGCAGCTCTAAATCATTCTATGATGCCCTACCCGTCACAGTCACTGATTGTGGATTGATGGGCTGGAAGTTAACTCTTTTATGACGACACGCGGCAAAAGTTGCAATGCTTCAGTGCGACCGATTCGGGTGTCGGGCCAAGGGCCTAAACATATTAAAAGCTTGTTGATATGTTGCATCGCATTGTCAGTGCGCCTTCTAATGGCAGTGCAAGTGGTTGCTGTTCCCAGTCGTCCATTTCAGTGAGCCTGCGTTTGGAACAGATCCCCAAAGTGGGGCTTTCTCCATAAAGGAAATGTTTGACACTTGAAAATATTGAAGTAATCGTCAGATATATTGAAACAAGCTCACCTTTAACTATCAGCATGCTTTTTAAGTGGAAAAGTGCTCTAGATATTACAATTTTCTGTTTAATAAACACGCTCCTCAATGCGCATGGTTTGGTTGCGTTATCGTGCATTGCACAATATTGATGGAGAGCCTATTGACAGCTGTTATATCTGGTAATTGCCCTTACGAACGCCTAGGTTTGGACGCCTCAACAATTATATTTTTCTTGGCCTTGATCGCCGCATGGCTTATGGAATGACATGACTAGAATGACGTTATTATGACGTCATGAATGCCAAGGTGACTGAAAGACTCCGGTATACCTTTTCCCAGTTTTCGCGGGCGTGTAGTTCAGAAACTAGAGGGGATTGGGTCTTGAGAATAGCCGGATTGCGGACAGCATGTAAAGGTCTTCAAGATGGCTATTTCAGTTCAAAACCTCATGAATGTGGAACCCATCCTTTAACATGCCATGCTACGTTGGTTTGTTGGCATATTCGTGTCAGCTCCGCACGCTTGAAGGCATCACGAGTTGCTCGCATTTGACTGTTGTTTAGTTTAAACGGACCAGACAGACAGCACGATGGCCGACGATTCAAATAACGCTCCAGCAATAGGTGGTCGGCTACCAACGCAACCGCCCTCGGAGCTCATGCATCATCGCACACCCGTCTGTGAACGCTCTTTCACCGCACATTCCGTGTTCCCCCGGGCAGGATGAATTGAGCTAGCTGTTATCCGTGCGGCCACATTTTAATTAAAGGCACGTGAGCCATGCTGTCGAGGCGTCGGCGGTATAAAAGCACTGAAAGCGGAACGCTTCATAATTAAACCGTACTTCTGTGGCACGTCAGACGTGAGGGCCTCGCAAGAAACCGGGATGGGAGTAGCTTATTTAAAAGAAAATCGGTACGAACAGAAAATCCAGGTCCCTAAACTCAGTCTTCAACCCATATAAATCCCAAACACATGAATGTTGTCACTTTTGCGCTACGCCTTATGCCGTGCCCTTGCGGACTAAAACGCCCACTTGAATGAGTACCACTCTGTAATCCTCGCCTCCTAGCTGGTGCATCGCAAATAGAAAATTGGCAAAAGAAATGTGAGATGTGAAAAAGCCAATCAGCATGTATTTGGTTTCTGGTGTATAAATTCCCCTCTTCAGGAGAGCAGAACATGATGCCCATATGAGCAGGTCTACCCAACAAATCTCACCGAACTGGAATACTCACGTTCATGCTTTGTCTTCCGCTACAGCGCTATGAACTAAAACACCGTCAAGTGCCACTCCCGTACACTCGTCCGCCAATAGGGCGCACGACACTGTTGAAGTTAATCAGGACATTGCAGCGTAGACGAAAGGAAAAATAGCGGATGCGAAATGAGTCGGAATATTATGGCGCAAATTTCTAGACATTAGATTGAAATAATTAGTGTCCAATACCAGAGTTGCCTGGAGTGTATGTCCAGGGTTTACTCACTAGATGCGAATTGCTGCTCGTTTGACCCAGGGCGATAGGCGTAATGTGGTCGTCGCAGTTTGGCATAGAAAGACTCAAATCACGTATGAAAAAGATGATCCCATTCCGGATTGTCTTATACAAATGTGCACCTCCATCGTGCCAGGAACGTTGAAGCATAGCTTATCAAAATGGCTTTCCTTTGTCGGTGACATATTATCGAGTTTGAAACCAATGCTGTTAACGCTGTGCATCTAGGGGTACCTTGGTCACACTTCTAACGGGAAATCCTGACATTTTCAGGAAGATCTTGGCTGACATTGTTCTCATCAGTGACGGTTGACGGGTGCCTCCATGACTGCATGGCATAAACATTTGCTCTTAAGGTTGATGCCGAGTGCCTCGAAATTTATCGTCCCTTGTTATCATTCGGGGCTTGTCTCTTGTCCTCTTGTGCCGTTTTGTCTCTGTCCAGAGGTGCGGAAGTGATTTCTCGGTGCATGCGGGTGGCCGTGTCATCTGTACCTGTGAAATAGACGGTAAAGTCATGCAGGCATAAATCATTTATGTAGCTTTACACTGTGTATGACTTTACCCTGTATCAATGCGATAGAGGATTGTTTGTCTTCTGTCCTTTTGTCCGCGCAATAGACACCCAACCGTTGCCTACTAAGTCCCATTGTGATAAACGATACTGTCTATACTCCCCGATGCTTGCTCCGCCCTGGCGCTGACCGACGCCTGTGACCGGCAGGTGGCCGCCTCTTGAAGCGTGTCGAGGTGCTGAGCGCGCTCGGCGGCAGCGCCAAGCGCAAGAGGGTGTCGTTCGGGCCGGTGCTCAGTCCCGAACAGTTCAACCGCGAGCTGCCGCCCTCTACGCCGGTGAAGAAGGGCGCTCGCGTGTCGGCACGCACACCCCTGGTGCAGGTCGGTGTGCGGTCTGCGCCGCCGATGGGCCGCTGCTCACGGCTGGCGTGTTGATCGTCCGCTGTCGGGTGGAGCATCTTTTGTCGTCGTGGCGTGTTTTCGCAGTTGCTCAGTGCCGGGTGGAGTGATCTCGCGTGACGTCTGTTTGTGCTGCATGCTCTTTCCGTCGTCGCCTGACGACTCCTTGTTTGTTTCGTCGTTACAGACAGTGATCGTGGAAGAGACTGAGCACGCTTTGAGTGAGGCATCCATGAATGGGTCGCTGAAGCGACACCAACCAATGTCACCGGCCCAGCCGAAAGGCCCGTCGCTGCCTGGTACGCCGAAGAGAACCGCCGGTGCCAGCACGCCGCAGGACGGGCCGCCGGGGTCCGCTTCGAAGGGCAGCCCTTGGCCGGGTGCGGCCGCGCCAGGCCGCGCTCGCTCTGGGGTCACCCCGGTCGGTGTCACGCCGAAAATGACGCCCCAGCGTCGCTCACTGTCGGCACGGAAGACTCCAAAGTCGGGTGCTGTGCTGGGGTCTAAGGTGACGCCGCGTTCGTCCAAGGGCACGCCGGCCAGCGGCCGGATCGCCCCGGGCACCGTTATCACTCCCGCCACGGCTGAGCGCAAGCTGGCGCCATCGCACAGGCTCACGACGGGAACACCCAGTCCCAGAGGTGAGATGCGGACTGAGGCCTCTGATGAGGTGGCAGTCGGCGAAACCCCTGGCAGCGTCAAGAAGACTCCGCGTGGAAAGTTGGCAGGTGTGACGCCGAAGAAGTCTGGGGCCGCTCATACGGGCGTGACTGTGACTGACGGCTCTCCCAAGAGTCCGCAAGAGAACACCCCTCAGAGGGGAAAGAGGTCTTCTCTTCCGACGCCGGGCAGCGGGGGCAGCCTGTTCGCCACCCCGGTCGGCGGGGATCGGCACTCGGAGGGAGGTACGCCGCGGAGAAGGTCCGACGACCGCGGCCAGCAGGACGGTAATGGCGGTCTCGTCACCAGTCCGTCAGCTGACTCGACAGGGAGCCCCGGCCAGCTGGGCATCAGTCCCAGGAACGCCAAGTCCAGTCCTGTCTTGGGAAGGGCGACGTCCAACTCAATTCTGTTGGATTCTCCAGAAACTTTCCAAGTCGGTAGCGAAAGCGTGAGCTCAGGGGATACTTCCCGCGACGTTGTGGCCAATAGTTCTCCCGATTCGAGGGTTTTGACTAAAACACCGACCAGGACCCCAATATCTGTCTCGAAGACATTAAAGCCGACTCCGGTCAGAAGTCTAAAGTCGACAACACCGCGTACACCAAGATCTGTCTCCAAGATTTCCAAGAGTGCCCCAGGCAAGTCTCCAAAAGAATCCACGGACAGTAGCAAAACACCTCTAAAGGAAACCCCGAAATCCGTCAGCAGGACCTCAGCAAGCTTCTCATTAAGCAGTCCGCGGTCGCTGACGAAGATAAAGGCGAAGATGGCTGTGGGAAGCCCGAAGTCTGCCACCAAGAGCCCGACGTCTGCAGCCAAGACCCCGAAGTCTGCAGCCAAGACCCCGAAGTCTGCCGCCAAGACCCCGAAGTCTGCCGCCAAAAGCCCGAAGCCTGCAACCAAGACCCCGGAGTCTGCAGCCAAGACCCCGAGGTCTACCGCCAAAAGCCCGAAGACCTCCAGGAGCTCGTTGGTCAGCCGGGGCGGTACCACGCCCAAGACGCCGGCTGGGGGGTCGAGGCAGGCGAAGCGGTCCTACACCACACCAGTGGCACCGGCCTCCAAAAGACTGAAAGGTACACCCGACTGAATTTTGTGCTTCTTTGGTTTTATTTCGGGACGTTGTGGCCAAAAGTTGTGGCCGTTGTCGCTACTGACCACCGTGTGAGTACGGTGGTCAGTAGCGACCGTTAACCGTCGCGCCGATTAAGTGTGTGTGGGGGGGGGGGGGGGGGGGAGGAGAAGTGGAAATAAAGGCCAGTAGAAGGTGTTGAGCCGACGGTATTAGGTAGCCTGCGGCCACTGACCGCCACACACAGCTCGGCGAGCGCGTTCTGTGGTTTGCTTCCGCTCGTGCACTGCTTATAAATATAACACTTTGTGTCGTCTCCTGTTGATCGTTAGAACATTGCTGGGTAATGTGTAATGTCTGTGGTCTGCCTAGTTAATCGTGTGTCGTATCTTCCAGAGTCGCTCCCTGTCACGCCGTCAACTGTGGGCCGGCGATCGAAGGTTGCCAAGTCCGCGGCCAAGAGCGCCAAGTCCCGCTCAATCCGTAAGCTGAAGCCCACCTATGCGGACATGCTAAAGAAGAATCTGAAGTCGAAGTACATGAAGCTGGCCAAGAAATCTGTGAAGAAGGTCCAGCCGCGAGCCAAGAAATCATCGGCGCAGAGTGTTCCCGCCTTTGATCTGGTAAGTGTCCAATATATGCTCTTACTGGACCACTCCATGGATGAGCGTGCGTCGCAGCACTTCCTAGTTGTTCTCGCAATCGTCTGGGCATTACAATTTTTATCGATTCCACAGTCATTTTGCTTTGCTTCCTAAGTTTCACCATGAAATTGTGCGGATAAATATGTCCCCTCATGGGCACATCTTACTCGATGAACTGGACGAGCTTATCACGTGGACGTGCGAAATGATGCTCCAAATTTTGCTTCAGTTCGGCAGTTACAGTTTTTGCAAACCGAGACATGAAAGACAAATAGCAATTGGTGTTGTCAGGCCGACCAGCCTCGCTGCTGAAAATGCACTACGGTGATAATTTGGCGATAATTGTTTACGAACGAGCATTGGAAAAATTGCATTTTCGTCACAAACTGCAACGTGGGCACCGCGCCCGGAGGCGTTCGGTGTCCTTGTTGCCAGCCGTTCTTAACGCTATAAAATTCCTACGATGCTTTGACCTTTATATGGACGCTACTGGATGTTTGTACAACCTGATGCACCCGTATTGCGGAAATACTCTAGGCCATGGGGTTGCAGAATTTAGAAAGGTGGCAAATGTAATGTGCATGTTTTAATCCGTTTATTTGAATCGAAAGGGTATTTTGTGATCGCAGTGTCCGCTCGTTGAAGAACTTAGTAGTTTTAATAAATCAAACTGACTCAAATGAAATTTCCTCGGTACCTTGCGTCCATTATTACCTACGCTGGTTAACACCCGTTGCAGTGACTTATGTACGTTCATCATTGACCACCAGTCCTTGCGCACCATTACATTTCTTGTCGGACATTTTTTCGAGTAAGCAAAGTAAAATTTATTTAAGTTTTGACCGCGCTCCAAGTAGCTCATCGGCCGGTCCCGCTTTGCCGCAGGAGATCCCCGACTCGTTCTCGTTCGGGCCGTCAACGACCGGCCACGCGATGTCGCCGCCCACCTACGTGCTGCATGGCAAGGCGGTCCTCAAGCGGGCGGCTGCGTCAGTCCGCAAGCGTAGCGCAGTAGCCCGCCGCTCGGGCGCGGCCAGGCGCGCCGACGAGCAGACATCGCGGCGCAGGTCCGCCAAGGCCCGGGCGGAAGGCTCCGCCGCACAGCCGGCATCGTCGCTGGAGTCGCCGGCGGCGTCTCAGAAGTCGACCCCGGCCGCCTCGCGACGCAGGTCTGTCGCTTCGTCCCGCAAGTCTGTGTCGTCTTCCCGCAAGTCCGCCGCGTCCCTGTCGCGACGCGCGTCCAGTGCCGCGACGCCGAGCAAGTCTTCCCCCGGCTGGGCGGCAGAGAAGACGTTCGACTTTGACTCGGTGTATACGCCAGACATTTCGCGGGACGTGTTCGTGTCGCCGGTTGGGACACCTCGCCAGCCGGTGCTCACCCCGGGACGGATCGGGGCTATGCTGGAGGCGAAAGAGGGAACTCCTGGCTCGCCCCGCATGGATAGCGCCAAGAAGCTGAACATGACACCTCGGAGTTCCGCTAAGAAGACTAAGGAGCTGTTGACGCCGAAGCGAACATCCGCTCGAACCCCAAAGGCGGACTACACAAACGTGGCTGGTATCAAAAAGCTGTTGAAAACACCCAATGCGCACTGCAGGAACCCCGAAGGCGGACTACACCAACTTAGGTGGTGTCAAGAAGCTGCTAAAGACCCCCAAGGCGACTGCTCGGACTCCCAAAGCCGACTACACCAACGTAGCTGGTGTCAAGAAGCTGCTGAAAACACCCAAAGCGACCACTCGGACTCCAAAAGCCGACTACACCAACGTAGCTGGTGTTAAGAAGCTGCTGAAGACACCGGGTGCTGCTGCCATGTCTCCTATTGCGAATTACACCGACGTGGCTGGTGTCAAGAAACTGCTGACGACACCGAAGACCACAGCACGGACTCCCAAGGCCGACTACACAAACGTAGCTGGTGTCAAGAAGCTGCTGAAGACACCAGGTGGCGCCGCCATGTCTCCTGTGGCGGATTACACCGACGTGGCTGGTGTCAAGAAACTGCTGACGACACCGGAGATCACAGCACCAACTCCGAAAGCCGACTACACCAACGTAGCTGGTGTGAAAAGGCTGTTGAAGACACCGGGCGGTGCTGACATGTCTCCTATTGCGGATTACACCAACGTGGCTGGTGTCAAGAAACTCCTGACGACACCGAGGAACACAGCACGAACTCCGAAAGCCGACTACACCAACGTAGCTGGTGTGAAAAAGCTGCTGAAGACACCGAGCGGTGCTGACATGTCTCCTATTGCGGATTACACCAACGTGGCTGGTGTCAAGAAGCTGCTGACGACACCGAAGACTACAAAGCGAACTCCGAAAGCCGACTACACAAACGTAGCCGGCGTCAAGCAGCTGCTGAAGACGCCTCGCCGTTCTGGTGAGCCGCACAATGACCTGACCTCCGTAGAGGGCGTACAGGAGCTGTTCAGCTCACCTGCCGCCCTACCTGACGAGCGCTCTCGCCGCCAGCGCGTAGGCGGCGCCCTTGGGGCCGCTGGGTCGCCGGCTGATCAATGCTTAGCGGAGAGCGCCACCGCTGAGCTCGAGGTGGCCGCTCCGCGCGGGAGGTCTCGTCGCGGTCGTGCCCATTCGAAGAGCGACGAGCCGGCGCCGTCGGCGGCCGGCGAAGAATCTACGCGGACTCTGCCTGCGTCCGTGCCGGAGGAAAACGTGTCGGAGCCGAAGTCGCGTCGCGGAGGCAGGCGAACTGCGGCTGGCGTCACAGCGGCACCGGCGGAACCCGTCACATCCAGACGAGGGACTCGTGGCCGCGCGGTCAAGGCTGCTGTCGATGAGAGCTCGGAGCCTGCTGCCAAGAGAAGGGGACGAGCCGGGAAGGCTGCCGTGTGGCCGGAAGCTGCACTGGAGGTCGAAGAGCCAAAGCACGACAGTGCTAGAGCGACTTCCAAGGGTGTTGAAACGCCGGCAGAGTCCCAAGATGCCGCGAAGTCCAGCAGAACAAGGGGTCGTGGCGCGAGCAGAAGTGTGCAGACTCCAGAGCCTGCGCCACAAACCACCAAACCGAAACGGGAGAGAAGGCGAGCGGCTGTCGAGGTTGCAGTCGCTGATGCACCGGCAGAAGTCAGCAGACCGAAGCGGGGCAAGACACAAGCCGCTGCCGATAAAGCCGCAGATGAAGCTATCACAACGTCGGTAAGATCCAGACGCGGAAGGCGAGCCGTGGAGCCGGCTAATTCCTCTGAGGTCGGTGACGAGATCGCCAAGGCAAAGCCTTCTGGGCGCGCGGCCCCTAAAAAGATCTCTGTTGTAGAGGCGAGTGAAGAAGTCGGAAAGGCTTCAAGAAGTTCCACGTCTGAAAACGCACCATCTGCTGCCGTGCCGACGGATGTCGCCAAACCCAGGCGGAACGGAAGGCGTGCTGTCGCCGAAGAGGTGGCGCAGGACGCGACCGTGCCCGAAAACGCTGCCAAGCCCAAGCGAGCCAAGAAACGCGCTGCGGCTGAAGAGGTGGAAGAGGCCACGGCAGTGGAGAGTCAGAAGCCCAAGCCGCGGCGCGGCCGGGCCGCTGCGGCAGCCGATGTGTCGGCAGTTCCTGCAGACACCGCCAGCACCAGCGGCGCACGTGGAAGACGAGGCTCTGCCGTGCAGAAAGAGCCAGCCGCCGAGGCGCCGAAGGTCGGCACCCGTCGCGGAGGGCGAGCGGCCGCCGCTCAGGAGGAGGAGATCCCCGTGTCGCCCAAGCCCCCCAGGCGGGGCCGTGCTGGTGCGGTCCGCGCCGAGCGCGACGACAGCCAGCCAGCGCCGGTGGCCAGACGCGGCAGGGGCCGCACCGCTGCCGCCGACACGGAGGTGACCGAGCCGGCGGCGCAGGGCCGCGGCAGGCGGGCCGCTGCCGCCGCCGTCGTTCAGTCGCCGGCTGCCAAGGGGACACGCCAAGCCTCCAGCCCGCTACCGCCGCCGCCGGTGGAGATGGGCCCCGAGCGCCGCGCCACTCGGAAACGGGCCGCCGGCGCACCGCCGTCGGACGTCAGCCCCCCGAAGCGGTGAGTCCTCTCCCGCCCGTCCGACAAATGCTGTTCAGGGGGCCCGCTCATGGGGTGAAGTTATACCAGCCAAGCTTCACTCAGTGGGGTTTCTTTATCTCTGAGTACGGGACAAAATACGCTGGACCATCCCGTGGTGCCTGGTTTACGAATTCGTTTTATTTAAGAGCTTGTATCGCGTACATTTTCATCGGCTTTGTTGTCACACGTCACGATATAGGAACTTCTCGAATAATTCAGGGACGGTAGCGAATATGCGTATTCCTGCATCGCCTGACATTTGATTCTTTTCTGTTGTTTCAGGGCTACGCGAAGCCGAAAATAAGAATGCAAGTGCAAATTTACCTGACTTATGTGTAGGTGTACGCGCTGGACTTGCCGTTTAAGTGTGCGGGTGTGTCGACGTGTGATGATTGTGTGTGCGTGTGTGTTGCGTTGTATGGGGAGGTTTTAGTCGTGCAACCTCCGAATAGGAGGAAGACAAATTTCATGCGCTTCTCACGCTTGGATCGGGTGCAGATAATTTGCATGCCTATCATGGCATGTTGACATTTGCTGTCATCATTGTTTGAGCGACTGATGTGCACTAAAAGTAGAAGGAAAGTGAAGTAGATTAATCTAGAGCAGCAGATGCCCGTTGAGAAGCTGCGTGTAGGTAGGAGCCAAAGTTTTAGTTTTAAAACGATGGCTGCAAGATGTGTGTTAGGGGATCTCTCGCATTAGTTCCGCCGTAACCCGATATGGCTCCCTTTTCCATTCCTTGTAGGCGTCATTGCTGCACTGGGAACGCCGTGAAGGTATTAATGCACATACCAGGTGCTCACACCACCGTGCATCTTGTCAGGCCGCACGTGCGTGAATACGACCATTGCCCATCGTGAATATCAATGCCTCCAGCCTATCCGTGTCATTCGTCCGCCTACCCTTACCTCGTGCGTCTGTCTGTTGTAAAGCGGCTGCTCCACTCAGCCCCCTTCCATTTCCACTGTTCTAGGTAGTAGTTTAATAAAACAACAAAATGTTTTGTTTTTGAATGTTTGCACAATGACCCGTGCATGAGGAATGACATGGCTAGCCAGTGCGGAACGGTAAGACGGCCGTCCGGAGTTCGTGAAATCCAACACATCGGACTGGAAATCGCTTGGGCGCTGTGGCCGTTGGCAATGTTCGATCGCTGTTCGATTGTTCGATCGTGGTCCACCAGCTGCCACGAAACTTGCTGACACGGTGTGCTCTGCCACGAAGACATGGGAAGCGAAGAGAAGCTGGTTAACGGCTGCAGGCTCAGATGGCTTGGGGTTTGACGATTGCGCTGACTGAGCGCGTCTGTGGTTTTGAAGTGAATTGTAGAATGTTCGCCAGTTGGAACGACCTGACTCAGGTTGGTTGGCATGTTACAATGTTTAGCCACGGATAGTGCTTGTCTGTTCGTGGTGTCATTCCCCCCCCTCCCCCCCCCCCCTAATGTGATGCAAAGCGTCAAATATGAAGTGTAGGTGGTTTTCAGAACTGCGGTCTTCGGCCCCCAAACGAATGCAGGAAGTTTCCGGTGAGCTCTGAGCCTCAGAATTACGTCCGTGATTTGTGATGCGTTCAGCATTGCAGCCCATGCCCTTCGACGTTGTGTGGATGTTGTGAACTGGGGCGAGAGCAGGTCAGTTTTACTCACTAATGTGATATCTAAATCATTGGTGAAAGGTAGCGCAGTAATCTGCGGTCCGCACATATATACCCAGCGCAAGCTAACACACAGAATGGTTCACGCACCTGTGATCTGACCGATTCCAGCTGAAAGGATAGGTCCTGGCACTTGCTGTGACGCAGTTTATCTAGAAGTTATGCGGATGGCACGATTTCCGCCGAGCACAGCATGGGGTCATGCCGTGCGGGAGCGACTAAGCCCGCCCATGCCCGCTTCTCGTCCGGAGAAAAACTAAAATGCGTCATTTCTACAATGAAAAAGTCGTTCGTAACAAGGTCGCGACTTTTTAGCGTGGGCGTATGGGCCGATCGACAACGGCAGCTCAAGGGCGTGCAACAAGACGCGTGGGCGTGATAGCACCTGACCTCAGGCTAGCGTTCAGACGTATTAGAGGAAAGCTGGCTTTATATAGCATAGCATAGCTGAGACGATCATAGACGCACGCAACTGTAAGCAGATTAAGGCCCCCATGACCACTTGCCTGCATATGGGTCGCTGTTGAGATTAAGGTGGCCGTCCTTTGTATTCGCTGATGAAACGAGACGAAACAAAGCCATATATAATTGTCGTCCGCTAGTGAATAAATACGGAACTCGACGGGGTGTGCCAAAGTGGCGCCAGACCTCTGTTTCGTCATGAACAAGTCTGAGGACTTGCTCCGCAGCATCAGCCTCAATGGCGTCTCGTTGGCCTCTGCTTGTCTCCATATAAGCGCGGTAGGTAGGCAGCTGTGCGCTTATGGCAGCGGTTTAAATTGAGCTCCCACTCTAGGTCTGCTAATTACAATACGCTCGCTGTCATTTCCATCTCCTGTGATACGAATTAGTGAGACTGACGAAACACTTCGTCTTAATATTCTCTCATCGAACAACAACTCGCTCGTAAACGACAGAAGATTGTTTTTCACACCATTTATTTTAACAAAGTTGAGGCACAATACACATGATGGGATTGCTTAATGGAAAAATTTGTGGATGAATAATTAAGCCTTCTACTTCCTGCAACGCCTCAATGCCCAATAATCTGGCTAGCACTTGACACATGGCTGGTAGATACACACAAGACACGTAGGTTAGGAGTGGGCGGTGTGGGGAAGCGGGCTGCCCCGGCATAGCGCCTGCTCTCCAGCCGTCTATGGCACTACCCTAGTCCAGTCAGCGGATAGGCAGAGGCGGCGGCGCTGCTCCCAGACATAAGCGCATGTGTTAATCAACTGCCGCGTAACAGCATACGATAACTGGGTAAATTGAACTGTAACGAACTAGCCGGGCTGGTCAGCCGCGCACCGGCCTCGCCGACAACGGATTCCAGCGAACAAACCACCAGCGACAGTGCCTAAAATGAACTTTGTCGGTGCCTACGATAAGAGATGCTAACAAAACCGATTGTTGCGGTAACGCCCCCAACTAGCGCTTGAAACACCTCAGCCAACACAACTACAGGCAAAATAGGCGCCGACGTGTATACACGTAACATTACTGGACTTTAGAGAATATAATGGCACGCTGGACAACAAGAGATCATACGCGTGGCAACAGATAACGGGGTCGGTGGAACCGGATCTAGAGTTCGGCCACCAGCGAGCACCCTGCCCGTGCCACTGTGGGGGGGGGGGGGGGGGCGCACACGGGCCTTTGGTTAGTGGCAACAAAGCGACGATCACAGACAGTGCGCGCGCGCAGGGCCGGGTGCAGCGGAGGGCTGTGCGGCCAGCCCGTCGTCGGGGCGCCCACGGTTGGTCCCACGGAGAACACGACGGAAGACGGAGAGGGACGCAGCCCGGCAGCGGCGGCGCGGGGCCGGCGCGGCGGGCCGGGACAGGGACCGGCGACGGGGCGGGGACCGGCGCGCCTCGGGCCACACTCGCCGTCGCCGGCGGCCGGCGGCACGCGCCGTGGCAGCGAACGGCCAGGGGCGTCGCGCCGATCCCGGCACCCGGGCCACAGGTCGCCGCGGAGAGCGCCCGGCGGAGTGTGGAGACGGAGGGCGGTCGGCTGATCGCCTCCGGACAGAGGGCCGGCGAGGTTCGTGCCGTAAAAAGAGAGCGGGATTGTGGGCACAGTTGGCCAGGGGACGGCAAGCTCTAAAACGTAACAAGGCAGCCAAGCCCGTCCAAAGAGAGAGAACAAAGCAATTAGGCTAAAAATAACGCCCCGCCCGCGCCAGAATCCCAGTGCACCCGACAGGCCCGGAGCAAAGGCCACGCCCGGGTCAACCGAAGACCAGATCGGCACCGCCCGCGTCCACCCCGTCTAACAGAACGCCACGAGCGTGCTGCGCCGCGTGGGCGGCGGCCACGGCGGCGTGTGCACCAGAAGATCGATCGCCCAGAACTGGGAGTACGTGGTGACCTAACAAAACGGCACACTGACAAGCGGGCCGCGCGGACACACGCACACAAGACCATCGGCATCTACGACTTGAGCACAACGCGGTACGACATGACAAAGCGCCTGAGTTACATGGATGTTACGTATTACACACTAACACGCGCGTGTGGACACACACAGGCAAACGCACAAGCACACACAGACACAAAGACACAATGCACACCCTCCCACTCATCGCACATTCACACACCACCCACCTACGCATCCACCCATTCATTCATTCATTCATTCATTCATCCATCCATTCATTCATTCATTCATCCAGCCACTTTCTTCCTCAGCAGTCACACGCCCACTCACTCCCCACCTCCTGCCATAAGGCCTTTTGTACACTTAGCGCGGGAGACGTGATTGACAGGGGCATTATGCAGTGGGCAGCGGCCGAGCCGGGCCGGGCCGGACCGGCCGGGGTGGGGTGGAAGGAGTGCAGGGTGGCGCCCGGCCTCACTCGGCCGGCGCTGAGGTGCGGGCGGCGCGGCCGGCGCACCCCGCACGGCGCCGCGCACACGTTACAAAAGTGACACACTCGGGCGAGATTATTGCAATGTTGTTGGGTGGAATGCTGCGTGCGAAGGCGGGCCGGGGACGGCAGGCGGAGCGCTGCGCCGCCCCGCCGGCGCGGGGGCCGCTGCGGGCCGCCCGGGCCGCACGCTACGGTAGCACACGACACACAGGCGGGGCGCTACCGGACAGCTAGCACACGGCGCGGAAGCGGCGGACAGGGCGTCACAGCTGGCGGTCGGCGCGGCCGGCGCCGGACGCGCGCTCTACGCGGCGGCGAAGTAGCTGGACGCGTCGCCGCGACAGATGGGGCAGGTGCGGTTCGTCTGGGGAGAGCGCAGCAGCCGGTCAGACATCTCCGCAACAGCGACGGCGCTCCGTGATCCAATCCGGACTGGGCGATCACAAACCACTCACTGAGTCCGAACAAACCTCCATTACATTACCTAAGCATTTCATCGATACTTTTCCAGGTGTGGGGGAGGGGGGGGGGGTATTGCAGGGAACAGTTATCATTACATCAATACTAGGACCCAATTAAAGACACACACTCATCAAAATGTGTTACATACACAACGGACGCACACGAGAAGTGATCACGCAAACACATCACGATCACTCACCACCGCCATCATCCGAGGATCTCGCGGCGCCGGCCAACTCACCTTGAGCCACTTGTCGACGCACTTGGTGTGGAACTCGTGGCTGCAGGGCAGCACGCGCAGGGTCTGCCTGCTCTCGAAGTCGCACATGCAGACAACGCAGGAGGTGAGGTCCGAGTTGTGCGTGTCGGCGTTGAAGCGGTAGCTGGGCAGCTGGTCCACCTCGGCCTTGCTCAGGCCGCGCGGCTTGGCCTCGCCCAGTCGCTCTGCCAGCGTCAGCAGCGCCTCGTAGTTCTCCGTCTCGGCGTTACCGGCCGGCAGCTCGGTCGGCCCGTACGCCGACACGCTGCCCGGGCTGTTCAGCATCGCCAGGAACTGCAGCAGGAACGGCGTGTACGGCGTCGGGTGCGACGTGGGCACCACCAGGCTGCGGATGTGGCGACGCGGCAGCGGCGCGGCCGGCGGCGGTGGTGGCGGCGGCGGAGGAGGCGGTGGCGGCGGTGGCGCCGGCGGTCGCCGGCTGGAGGCCGTCGGCCGCCGCAGACGGTGGCCGCCGTGCGCCAGGTGCGCAGCCAGCTCCAGCTGCGCCGCCCGCGAGTCACCACCAGGCGGCAGCACGCTCGCCGGCGGCATCGGCAGCGGCGCGTGCGCCTGGTGCTGATGCTGGTGCTGATGCTGGTGCTGGTGCTGGTGGTGGTGGTACGGGTGCTGGTGCTGGTGTTGGTGTGGCGGAGGTGAGGCATGCTGCTGCATCGGCATCATCCGCGGCAGCGCCACCATGTTGGAGCGCCCCGCCAGGAAGTCGCTGTCCGGCCGCTGCCAAGGAAAGGGAATGGCGTTTCAGTTTCAATCGCCATCTTTGGGGATGTAACACTGGCTGCGAAAACACAGCGGCACACATTTATTTGGCCGTAACCAATCGGTAGATGAAATTGTCTTACAATAAAACATATGGATTGCGCGGAAAACGTTATGGTTACAGTCCTACAAAAACTACCAGTGCAATGGCTGGACGTGACGTGTAACCATGTCCATTCCACACAGCGAGAACATTTCTTTCTCGACTTGCTTTTCACCAAATATCTGTCCTTCGCTACGCTATTCAAAACTAGCGAAGACTCGCTATTAGGTCCACCCTTGAGAAGGGCGGTCCCAAGATGGATGACTGAGAAATATGGAGCTTTATCGTCGTTCGGGTTAAGGCACGATCGCCGCTGGTACAGCGTCGGTTGCTTTTTCGTTCAGACCCGCCGAAAGTCATCGCCAAAGTCACTATGTTCGGTCAACGGAAGTTACGAGTCGGGGGCCAGGGATTGGTGATCCAGCTCTGAAAAGGCCCGGAGAATTCGCGCATTGTTTAGTAACAAACGGAAAAGAACGGACACGTAAATCCTCTCCAACCCGTCTCCTTCTAAGGCTTAGCAGAAAGAACACATCCCTCCCCCTGTTCACCAACAAGACTTTTCATCTAAAACAGCTTGCAGAGTAAATGACAACCACTCCGGTAGTATTTCCAATTCACATAGGTCTATAGCCTTGATAAAGTGAGTATATTGCATCCCTTTTTATCTTTGCTTCTAATCGGAAACAAAACAGAAACAACTACCCCAGGCTACGCAATTTGTTTTGATCGACGTCTAAACTATCATATAAAAGCCCATATGGCATTGGCTGACGGTTTCACGAAAATACGACATTGTTGACAGCGCCGCACACGGTGCGCAACTGCGCACATTCTAGCACATTGATTCGATGAAGGCATATGGACGGCGCGCTGACAGTGAACAACTGGCAGGTGATATTGCCTGCCCCTGAACGCGTGACTGCCGGCGCACAACAGAGGCAAGGCTCACAAATTACCGGCGTATTTGGGGGACCGGCTGTCGTCGCCGGACACGGGCGTGGCAATAACACGCCAGTGTCAGCCGACCGCCGGCTGCCGTTTGTGGTGAACCGCGCCACTCGGCGGGGGCAGCACGCGAGGCCCACTTCCCGGGGTCTCCAGCGGTGGTAACCAGCGAGAGGTGACATCACTGCATCGGATCTACATGCATCTACGGCTGGCACGGCCGCGGCCAACCTGGCCACTGCAGTGTACAACACCGGCAACTTTGCCTACCCTTTCAGTTGGTCTGCAAGGGAACGCCAGGGTATGCATCTTTTCTCAGTCACTGAGCCAGAAGGTAGGAAAGAATGCTCTCCGTTCCTCTCCGATACGAAAAACACTTGGTGGCAAAAGCGCCCTCCACGCCCGACACCGCGCCCGGCTCGAGCCGCAGGGAGCTGCGCGCGGCCGAAGCGGGCCCTCTCACCTGGTTGAGGTGGGGCCGTGTCTGGAAGTGGGCCTGGCCCATGGTGTTGGCGTTCATGTGCGCCTGGGGCGGCACCTGACCGTGGAACGCGGCGTACGGCGGCGGCAGGCACGCGCCGATCTGTGGCACCTGGCGAGACACGGCACTGTCACGAGGCGGCCCACGCGGACGACGGCGGGGCAGGCCCGCGCCGATCCGTGGCACCTGGCGGGACACGGCACTGTCACGAGGCGGCCCACGCGGACGACGGCGGGGCAGGCACGCGCCGATCTGTGGCACCTGGCGAGACACGGCACTGTCACGAGGCGGCCCACGCCGACGACGGCGGGCAGGCACGCGCCGATCTGTGGCACCTGGCGGGACACGGCACTGTCACGAGGCGGCCCACGCGGACGACGGCGGGGCAGGCACGCGCCGATCTGTGGCACCTGGCGGGACACGGCACTGTCACGAGGCGGCCCACGCGGACGACGGCGGGGCAGGCCCGCGCCGATCTGTGGCACCTGGCGAGACAAGGCACTGTCACGAGGCGGCCAACGCGGACGACGGCGGGGCAGGCCCGCGCCGATCTGTGGCACCTGGCGAGACAAGGCACTGTCACGAGGCGGCCAACGCGGACGACGGCGGGGCAGGCCCGCGCCGATCTGTGGCACCTGGCGGGACACGGCACTGTCACGAGGCGGCCCACGCGGACGACGGCGGGGCGGCCGACACGAGCGGGAACACGGCCCCCACAGCGTACCACATACACACCAGCCGATGGGTCAAACTGAAGACAACTGCGGACGCCGGGCGCATAACCGACGGACAGTCATGCGGATGCTAACTGCCGGAGGAGAGAGCCAAGACCACTCCATAACCGGGGGCTGACAACACGGGAATGGGGAAGGGGGAGACGCAGCGTTCTCCGGGGGCCATAAGTCTCCGTCAGGTGGCACGTCTGATGGCGTAACGAGAGCAGAAAACGCGGAAAACAGTGCGTGCTGAAGATGCACGGCCTACACTAATGACACGCCACATCATATCAGAGTCCAAGTCTGTCGCATTATGGGACCCGCCGGCCATTCAACAGACAAGGCCATGGCGCATAGAGTTACAGGTACGCAGCGTTTCGTGATGTCGTCGTCATTGGCGAATTCTCAGAGATGACACATATCGACTTGTAGCGTCTGATACATTTCTTGCACAATGACAGTGATCATGCTTGCAATGTGAGAATATAAATTTATTTACATTTCTACATACGCCTCAAGATGTCAAGTCTATTATAAAGACTATGAAAGTCTACAGAAGCGTCTATGAAAATGACTAGTTAACAGACAAGAGCGTCATTCGTCATTTTCACTAATGATCATTCATCCGGTTATGTTTAAATGCGGGTGCGTACAATCGAAGAAGGCCCACTGATTTTACAGACAGCACAAACACAAGACTTAATATAATTTAGACAACAGTTTCAAAACTTCACCTCATGAGGTGAGCATAAGATAGCTATCATCATACAACATTGTTTAAATGGACAGACCGTTTTCCTATGACATCACTTGTACACGCACCTCATCACAAACACACTGGGCTTGGTCCGAACCGAGAAAAGACAGGGATGAGGATTTCTGCAGTAACATGGAGGTCATGGCGTCTCAGAATGGGCAGGTATAATGTTTAGAGGATGCGAAACTTGAGGTAAAAGAAGAAGAAAACGAGACAAGGAGACGAAGCAAGGAGCTGGCATTTGGGAGAATGGCGCCAGTGGTTTGACCACAAAGCGCTGTTGATCCGAGCAGGCGAGACACGTAGTCAACATACAGGGGGATAGCTGGTATTCCGACAAAGGAATGGGTGGCGCTCCGGGCAGAGCGACCTGGTAGCTCGGATAGAAGTGCCCAAGACCTGTGAGGACCAAGGACGCGGATGTCTGGTGTTTGGACGGAGGGATGTGGTGGTCTGGACAGAGATGTGGTAGTCCAGAGAGTGATCTGGCGGTCCGGACAGAGGGATGTGGTGATCCGCTCAGAGGGCTGTGGTGGTCCAGACGGAGGCATGCGATGATCTAGACAGAGGGATGCGGCGGTGCACACAGACGATACCGGCGCCTGCCTTGGCAACGGAAGTGAACGGCGCGGGGTAACCGGCAGCGTCCAGCGGCGTGGGGCCCGGCCTGGCTGGCAGGGGCTGATCACGGGCCAGGCTATTTGTGACTCCACACACTGCTGAGTAACGACGCCACCGCGCGCGCGCGCGGGGGGGGGGGGTCCGCCAGCTGGCAGAGCGCGGCGCCAGCGGCGGCGGCCGTGGAGCCGGCGCGGCGGCGCCTCCTCCGGGCTCCGCCGTCCTCCGCCGCCGCCCCAGCTGCTGCCGACGCTGCCGACGCTGGCGAAGATGCCGGCGCAGCACCGGCGGTGGCCGCCTCGACAGCGCCTACCTGGCAGGTGCCGGCGAAGTGCGGTCCGCCGCAGAACATCTGGCACGGCTGGAGGTGGGACGGCGCGCCGGCGCACATCGGCAGGTGGTGGTGGCCCGAGTACAGAGGCACGTGCTGAGACGTGAAGCCCAGCGGCATCGGCACCGGCACCTGCCGACCAAGGGAGAGACGGCGTCACAGCCAGGTCTGAGGACAGACCACAAGACACGGGGAGGCGCGGCATACAGCACATGGGACCGGCGCTCTCTGTCCACTTAAATGCATTTGTCATGCATCACAAGATCGCGTTTCCTTACCGATGAAACAGTTGCCATTTTCGACAGGCGATGGGCAGAAAAAAACTGAAACAATGCAACGCGGAACCAACAGATTGTCCACAAAAGCCCCGTGGTGGGGCGGTGCAGGACGGCACGTGGCCCCGCCGGCGACAGCCACGAAACCACACAGCCGTCACAAGGCTGGATGTCGAACAGAGAGGGAGGGCGATCGCATGTCGCACCCAATCAGCAGCAGGTCCGGTGCGGGCCGCGCCCCGCCGCGCCAGGGCGACGGGCCGTCATGGATTGTCGGCTGCCGCTACCGGCCGCTCGACACGGCGCGCCGCCCGATGATGGGGTGCGGCACGTACCGGGGCGGCGAGGGACAATCATGGCACGCCACCGACCGACCCTTCGTCACTGCCCCCACCCCGCCCTGACGTCAACAGAGATCGGACAAATGACGTCATCAGGGGACCAGTGACGCTCCCACGGTGGGGTCAATGCGCCACAGCCGGAGTCGAAGAGACCCAGTCGAGTGTGGGTAGGTGAGAGTGGTTCGGTTAGGTGAACTCGATCGCGCAGGCTTCCCGGACCTTAAGTACTTAGTTTCACTAGGCACTAGTGCGATCCCCCTGAGTCACTCCAGTCCCACTCCCAGACTGAGTCAGCCAACCGTTTGCCGAGTCTGGACTGATTCATTTCATACGTTCCAATTCCGGAATGACGCATTCTACAGCTTCCGGTCTCATAATGAGTCATTACGTAACTTTCGGTGTCAGTTCGAACTGCCATCTGTCGTAGCCGGCCTCCCGCAGTGTTGCACATGGCTGCGTCCGGGTGTGTGGCTGCTCTATACAGCTCCAGGCTACGCCACACGCCTCCCTCGGCAGAGACGCAATGCGCCGGCTCACTTCGCCTGAGGCTGCTCGAACCAGAGTCTGTCGCCGGTTCTCCCCTGGCGGTGGCCTGAGCGGTCCGCTCGGGGAGTCTGTTGTTTATGCATGGCATCACGGCTCGGCCAGACTGCACGCGCCATTCCGTGCCATCGACGCGAATGCCTCTGCTGCATAAACCCCCAAACTTGGTGCACCAAAAGGTCCGCTCACATATTGGTCCTTGCTATGGATTCTGTTGGCGGGCCTCAAATGAATTCCCGACCGTCGACCGCGGTCGGTCGACGGTCAAACGCGACCCGTCGATTTCCCGACCTGGCTCAGCTGCTGCCACTGATCGACCCGGCAGCAAGCCCTCTTCGCCGAGAACGGGTCTCGTCGGACACGGCTCTCCAGACCAGGATTCAGCCTGCATTTCATTTCTTTTCTGCATTTCCAGACCTGAACTTAACCCAGCGCCTGCTATAGAGGCCGGCACTAATGGCGCGGCGCGCCTCTCACTCGCCGCGTCCGGTCCCAGGCGGGTACGCCAGCTGACACGATTGGCTCAATCACGGCGGCTCACGTGACCACTATCGGTCCGTGTTTCTCGAGGCCGCCGACCGAGTCGTTCAGCTCTTGGACAGCGATGTTGCGCCGGGTCAGAAGCGCAGCAGTCTGCAGGGTGAATGTCGGGTCCGTCGTCCCGACCAGGAGCGTAGGTTCGCAAAGTGAGCTGGAGGGTTGAACAGTTAAATATTGCTTTGCCTGCCTAGATACACCAACGAACGAATTTCTTCCCGCATTTGGCACAATTTTTCTCAGAATTGGGGGGGGGGGGCTAGAGCCCAAGTTGGAGTGATGGGGCTAAAAACCCCTCCCCCAACTGAAAAGGAGACTACGCCCCTGGTCCCCACACTAACGGGATTGAGGTTCACGACCGTTAGAGCAACCGTGCTGAAGTTCCCTACACGGAATGGCCAGACCACGCGACGCTATCTGCCAACCGCTACACAAAACAGCCGTCGCCAAGCTCCGTCGTCTCAATCAATCAAGGTAAAATCAATACCAACACCGAACAGCTGACCGCAAGAGGCCTTGAGAGGGAGTGAAGACCCGTCTGTAAGACCGGCGCCGGAGCCTAGCATGAGGATTTTTCAGGACCAGTCAGGCACCCACCGCATGCCAGGTCACGACGAAGCGATCAGAACCGGCAATCTTCCCACCCGCAGATACCGCCTGTATCGACCACATAGCGGGCCGGTAGAGGGCGGCGTGGCCCGCCGAGCGGCACACGCGCCCTGCAGGCCAGGCCGATCGCCAACCGGTGCTGATGTCTGCGGGCCGGGCCGGGGCCCAAGCTCTCGGATCCCACATCCCGCTACATATAGTCCGTCTTTGTGCGGCAAAGCACGTGGGGCTCGGGCCGCTCGCCAGCCACCGACTGCCTTTGTCTGGTGGGCCACAAGCCCTGGGATCTCAAAACCTGCCACCTAGTCAGCATTTGTGACGTGAGGCACGACCACGGGATTCAAAAACTCCCGGAAAAATAGGTACTGAGTAAGCGCGTTACTTATCTCATATTTCCCTTTACCTGGGGGTTTACTCAACAAGGACGCCGGTGTGCCAGCAGTCTAGCAGTGCTCGTCCACTCGTCGCCAGGTGTACCGGACCGGGCCTCGTGAGGCAGCGCAGTGAAGCACCGGCCTGCGGCTCCACGCCCCGCCGGCCGCGGGCCGTACCCGTGCCCGGTGAGGCTCGGCAGCCCGCCGCCAGCAGCCGGTCTTTGTGCGGCCGCCCACGTGGTGCGGGGTCGGGCCCGGCTCGATGAGTCAGGCGCGGCGCGGCGGGGCCAGCTGACGCCGCCGTGACGTACAGCGGCCGGCTCTGCGGCCAGGGCGCACGGCGCGCGCCGCCAACGCCAACAGCCCGTACGTAAACAGCGCCCGCACGGCAAACACGTCAAAAATATCGGCCCGCGTCCGCCCGGCCGCCGCACACAGCCGGATCCGGTGCCGGGCAGGGCCTCCTCCGCCCGCACGGCCGCCGCACACAGCCGGGTCCGGTGCCGGGCAGGGCCTCCTCCGCCCGCACGGCCGCTGCACACAGCCGGGTCCGGTCCCGGCCAGGGCCTCCTCCGCCCGCACGGCCGCCGCACACAGCCGGGTCCGGTCCCGGGCAGGGCCTCCTCCGCCCGCACGGGCAGCCTCCGGCCGCGGCCCAGCTGTCGCCATGCCGTCACAGACGCGCGCCGACTTTGTCTCAAGGCAAACAGAGGTGTTCGTCGAAACGTGGGACGACGTATAAGATTACCAGCAAACTTTGAATTACCGTTGCAATAATTACTAGCTCTCCTGGACAACAGATGGGTTATGTACTCGTTTTGAATTCATGCTCAGTCCTTGCAGGCATCGTCCTGTAACCCAGGCTGTGCATCAGTTTGCAGCTCCGTCAGTCAGTCCCCCTCCTCTGCTCTCCTCTGCTCCCCTCGCCCCCGGCCTCTCCCACCGTCCGCCAGCAGCAGCAGTCATCGACTCTCGCCGCTGGCTGGTCTCCGATAGCGTGCGGCCACCTCGTTACGGGCCATATCACGCCATATCGGCTTCCTCAAGGTACAACGCACCGCGGGGGATAATCGCGTCGCTGGTGACCACTTGAAGGAGACCCCCATTACAAGTGCGACTGAACTTATACAGGCCAGCTCTGAACATACACACCACATCGGGCCCGGCCATGCAGCCTCACCTCTGACAGCTATGTCAACAAACCGGCACAATCCCCGCCCGGCGCGGCCAGCACCACTCCCCATGTGCCATCCATTGCCCTCGCCCTCCCACCACGCAGCCCACCCGGCACACAGATCCCTGCCTGGACGCGTTGAGCCCCGCTCCCGAGCCGCGGCCACAGCGCGCGTGACAGCCTCACCGGCAGGCAGATGATCATGGCGTCGGCCGCCGGCCACACGGCGAGCCGGTCCGCGTCGAGCCGGGCGCGGACGATCATCGCTGGCGGCGCGGCCCGCTGCCGCAGACCCGTGCGACACTCACCGGCACGCAGAGCATCATGGCGGCGGCGGCGACGGCAGCGGCGGCGGCGGTCGGCGGCCGCGCGCGGCTGCGTGCGGCGGCGCCCACAGCGCGCGTCGTATTGAGCGGCCCGGCCGGCCGGCCGCGCCGGCCGCCGGCGCCGTACAAAGGCACAAAAGAGCGGCGCGCGCCGCCGCCGCCGCCGCTGCCAGGTCGATCGACGCACGGTCCGGGCCGCTGGCGGAAAAAGCGCCACCGGCAGACGGCGCCGCGTGCCCGGCCGTGCTGCAGCCAGCTCGGGGCGGCGGCGCGCGGCGCGCTGCAGCCAGCCCGGGAAGCGCTCACGCCGCCGCTGACCGGGCGGCCGCGCACGTGTTGATCGCTCTGGTGTGGCGACTGGTCCGCCTCTGCTGAACTAGGACTGGCGCGGTGCAAATTAACGGCAACTGGGACGGAGCGGACCTTTTCACTATATTTACCCATTGGAACGTGTGCCATTGACGCACGAATGGATGCCTTCCGCGTCACTTTTAAAGTTATCTACATCCGCGCGCATAACAGACCTGCTGCCGACAATCCAACTGCCTCGAAGCATGGTCAAGATGCCGCTCTACCCTCGCGCAGGCCAGCAAACTGTCCGTGGCCAGCCGTCCATCGTGCTCGCGTCACTCCGATGACCACCGCCCGCGGAAGCGAGGCGGCTCAGCGGCTGACACTGGGCGGTGGCAGTCCAGATCGGCTGGTCATTAAGCGTCCCAGTACCGTCCGCGGGAGCGAGGCGGCTCAGCGGCTGACACTGGGCGGTGGCAGTCCAGATCGGCTGGTCATTAAGCGTCCCACTACCTCCCGCGGGAGCGAGGCGGCTCAGCGGCTGACACTGGGCGGTGGCAGTCCAGATCGCCTGGTCATTAAGCGTCCCACTGCCGCCGCGGGAGCGAGGCGGCTCAGCGGCTGACACTGGGCGGTGGCAGTTCAGATCGGCTGGTCATTAAGCGTTCCAGTAATCACAACAGAACTGCTCCGATCGTACTCGTTTCTAAAACATTTGTGAAGATCGTGCGATTTGTAAAGATTACAAATAGCCAGAGTTCCTCGGCAGTTTCTGCGAACAGCTCTGACAGCAGATCAGACAACTACTTCTTGGTTAATGAAGTCATATGCACGAAAGACGACACGGCACTACACCTTGAGAAGCGGAACAAGAACAAAACGGCTCAGGACATTACGATTCTTTTCCAGGACGAGTGCGCGCGCACAGGCAAGTCAAAAGAGGACTTCTCTCTCACATGTAGTTATGACATCGGTACAACCGAAAGCGCCAAACACATCCTGCCTGCCTCGTGCATGGCTTCCTTGCTCCCTCGGGCCCCACAATCCGTCGTGCATTTTCCGAGTTTTGTTTTCTCCTTTTCCCGCACGTCATACGGAAAGAAGGATATGCATCAAAGCTGTTAAAACATGCTAGTGTAACTATTGCACAAACAAACAGACGCATGATGAAAAATTTGATATGAAAGAACATCGGTATCTTCCTCAGTGTTTGTGCGATGAAGATTCATCTAGCATGCTATTCTAGGCATATATACCTATATTCCGTGCGCAGCACTTTGTCTAGACAGAGGGAAAACTGTGTTTCGCCCGACAACGGATGGCATCTGAGATCGCCAGGTCCTATGATGACCCACGCCAGGAAGTACCAGCCCTGTCACCACTGAGGTAGCACGTTAGCCTAAGGCGTCTAGGTGAGGAAGGCCTTCCCTAACTGCAGGTGACAACAGTCAGTAACACCGGCCAGCGGCGGCGCCAGCACTGTCGACGCGACGCGGGTGTCTGAAGGTGAGACACAGCTGGATCCTGTCTGGACCCGGCCGCGCCGGATACGCGCCAGACGAGAGGCAAGGACAGCTGATGCCGACAAGTGGACTGAATAGCCGCTCGCCACCCCGGGCCCGCTGCGACAGGTCTGAGTAAGTTTGGCGCGCTGCACCGCGAGCATCCGGCCCTGGACGGGACTTGACAATCGAGCCGTGCTCCCCTTTAGGAAGTCCCCGGACACAACACTGTGGGCGAGACGAGTGTGACGCATTTCCAGCGAAAAGGGGAAAAAGTGGCGTGCGTTGCGAATCAGTTCGACTTCACACCAGTCATAACAATCGAGAAGCAACTGTCCAGACGGCCGAGCAATGTCACCACTTGTAGCGCAGTTATAACCAGTCCTATCCAGCTGTGTCGCGGTAGCATGAGGAGGGCACCAAACGTGGCCTCAAGGCCGGCTAGAGCCCGGGGGAGACTCACTCCGGCCGGTACGTCTAAGCCAGCACGCAGCCGCGGCGAACAGCACCGCCAGCCCGCCGTCAGCGTCAGCCTGCCTATAGCCCTCGATATAGCCCTACAGCCCCCCCCCCCCCCCGCCCTCCCTCCCTCCCTCCCCATCGATCCAACACCGACAGGTCCTGCCATCTGCCGTCGCCGACCGGCTGTGGCGAGCAACGCCGTTCATAGGTGGCAGCACGTGCCCGACATTGCGCACCGCGCGCCGCCACGCCCGCAATCACTCCCCTGTAATGGTCCTGTGTGCGTCGTTTGCTTTCGTAACAGCGCCGCCGCGACCGGCACAATGAGGACGTGGGTACGGCGGCGTTCCGCGTGAGGCGCGTCACGAGCGCGCGCACGGCCGCGCCGTATGCATGAACGCCCGACCAGCGAGCGGCAGCAGCGCACTTCGGCTGGAACGTATTGCCGCCAGGGTGGCGGCGCGTGAGCGTCAGACGCATACACGCACGCACGCGTACACAAGCGCACAAAAACCCGCCCGTACGCAGCTGCGCGCGTACGTGCAAAGTGCGCGGCCGGCGGCTCCACGCATCAAGGTCCGCGCGCGAGTTGAAGGCCGAGCCCGACCGAGTGTGACCGGGCAGCCGGCGACAAGGATGTGCGGAGCACGAGCGGCGCCGGCTGGCGGCCGGCCCCCGCAGCGCGGCGCACCGGCGACCCTGGCCGCCAGCCCAGTTTCCCAACGCGTCGCCCGCGGCGGCGGCGCCGACCAGAAAAGGTCGCAGTGAAAGGCGGGAGCCTTTTTCGAGGTACAAGGTCAGCGGGGCACGTGGCGGCGACCTCTAGCGCCGCGAGCCGGCGCGGCGTGGCTGACCTTGCCACCGCTGCCGGGGTCAGCCCCCGGTCTCCGGAGGTACGGCACCGCCCGGCCGCCGACGCGCTCTCTGCGCCAGCACGCTCGCACCGCCCGTGCGGGTCCAGTAGGCGAGCGGCGGCGCCGGAAAGGCTTCGCCGGCGGGTCGGCGCGGCGCCGGTCGCAGCCAAGGCCGGCACCTCTTCGCTGCGCGGCGCGACCCCCGCCCGGGCCGTCCGCGTCCCACTGTGGCGACATCGGCCGTTGCAGCAGCGCGTCGGCCGATCGACAGGCAGAGCGTGAATGCCAGCCGGCCGCACTTCAGCGCGCGGCCCGGCCGGCGACACGCCTGCCGCCTTGCACCCACGGCGAGCGGTGCGGGCCTGGGACGCGCGGTGACTGGCGCGCAGAAAGTCACGTGAAGCCGCCAGGTGTAGGCGCACCGTCCGTTCGGATGATTGTTACCCCACTCTGGCCGGGCGTGACGCACACGTCCGGCTCTGACGCACGCCCGTCGCGCTGGTCCAGCCACGTCGCGCCGAGTGAGCGCCTTCGACGAAGCCGCTAAGGGGCGCGCGGACGCCGCGGCAGCCGGCTCACCTGCAGCGAGCGGATGTGGTGCGCCGTCGCCTGGCCTGCCGGCGGGTACTGAGGTAGATGGTGCGCCTGGTGCTGCGGCGGCGGTGGCGGCGGCGGGCGGTGGCGGCGGAGGGCGGCGGCTGCAGACTCACGTCGCCCGGCAGGCGACCAGACTCGCCGACGCAGCGCGACGAGCGGCGCATCGGCCGGGCTGCGGCAGACAGAGAGTCAAGGGCTAGGGCGGCGGCGCGGGGCGGGGCTGGAGTCGCTGGCCGCGGCCGCAGCGGCCGCCTAACGCTTCACTCTGGCACATGGATCGTTAGGTTTGACGCGACTCAACAGTGACACCACGACGGGACACGCCATTCTGAGACGCACGACCGTAATATTTCGCAAGGTAAACTGCACACTGCGAGCCGGCACCAGCGGTGCTTGTTCGCGACGGTAAACCAGCCCAGTGCCCCTGGCCGCCCGTGCAGCACAGACACAACAGTGGGCACAACACCGCCCCCACCGAAAGCGCCACACACGCAGCCGGGATACTTCCACCAAAGACCACATAGCAGCCCCGGGCGCAGCGGCACGCCCGCGCCAGCGTTCGCGTCAACCACCGGGAGAGCGTGGGCGGCCGCCGCCCGTGGCGAGGCTCACCTGCGGTGGTGCCGACCGTCGCCCGGCTGCCGGCGGCCCGAGGGCAGCGGCGGCGGTGCGCCAGGCGGCGGCGACGCGCCCGCGGCCCGGCGGCGGCGCGGCGGCCGCGGCGCCGGCGGCCGGCGGCGGCTATCCGGCGGCGCCGCCAGCTCCAGGCCAGCGCCGCTCAGCGAGATGCGCCGGCGCTTTCTGCTCGGCGATTCGCCCGCCTGGAAACAGAGGGCGCGGTCAGAAACGGCGCTCCCAGGGTCGACGTAACCGCCCGCCTGGAGACCGGGCAGTGCTCGACCCGACGGAGGGCAGTGCCCCATCAGGCGGAGGGCAGTTTGCTCACGGCGAGAACTGGAGATGGTCAGCCCATTAGCCATCAGGCGCGGGAGATCTTAAGCGTAAGCACGTTAGAGACGGCGTGGAAAACTTCTTAAATAAATGTGACCGAATGTCATGCAGACAATATTTTGGTATAGAGTACTTGCTGAGCACCTTTAGCTGCGAGGAACTAACACCATAAAACCGGGATAGCAAGTCCAGTTTAGTGAACAATTTTGGCTGCAAAATTCTAACATACCGTGTAATGCTGACACGGCCAACATGTCCCAGTATCATTCTTCTGGCAAGTT